CCGTTCCTCTTGCCTCCACCAGCCGTCAGCGCACCTTCTACTTGCCTCGTCGCTTCAACCCTGATCTCCCACCTCTACCAGTGGACGCTGTCCGCGCCTCGGTCTCTGTCTTCCCTAGCCGTTCTCCGATCCACAAGAGCCGGGTCCTCCTCCACTCTACGGGCCCTCACCTACCAGCCAAACCAGCACCTGCCCCCCATCTTCCGTCCTTGACCTCTGGCATCACTTCGGCAGTCTGGCTGAATCAGGTTCTCACGGCTGGGTTCCAGAGGTCATTACCATTGAAGGTAGTGAGGACCGCCTGGTTCAGGCCCTTCGCGCCGGTACCCTTCGTGCTGTGAGCGACGGCTCTTACAAAGCTAAAGTGGGCACAGCATGCGCTCAAATTCTCACTGAGGACCGCAGGAATATCATCTGGATCACATGCCAAACCCCTGGGAAATTTGATGACCAGAGTTCCACGCGCAGCGAATTGATTGGCCTTATGGCTTCTCTCCTGGTGTTGGACTGGATGTCTCAGGTCGCCCACCTGAAACTCTTTGCCAGCCAACCGTCGGTTGAGATGGCCTGCGACGGGCTCATAGCTCTTGATAAGTACTTCTCGGAAGTCCACCTGTCATCGTCTGGTGCCCAATTTCGGAGCAATCCCGTACGTGCAGCGAGCGTAACACCACGTTTGCAAATTCAACCCCTCTAATCTCCCTCAGATGAGTCATCTAGTAATGTGTTGTTCACTACTAAATTGTGCGCCATCCTTCAAGCTTTCTAACGGTGGTAGGGAAAGCAGTAGAAGACTTTTGGTTCAATATTTACAGTAGTGTTTATACACGGACCCAATATAATGCGTAAACAATTGGCCCAAAATGTGTAACTCCTCGACTTTTTCACATATTTTGGCTATCGAAATATTCATCGACAAGTATCATGCCTACAAGAACTGCCAATCATACTGTAACTACCAACCCCAACGGAAACGAAGAAGGCCATGTTACCCTTCCGTTGGGCTTTGTTTCGAGCCCTCCAGTGGTTGTTCGGAGAACCAATACCTCGCCAGCGGGGCTAACTCTTCTCTCTGAAATCTCCTCCATCACTCTTCCTCCTTCCGAGGAGGACGAGGACGACAGCAATGAAATCTGTCAACGATCCAATGCCCCAACAGATACATTGGAAGAGTTGGTAGACTCTGACAATGACGATGCATTGGACCGACTAGAACCTGACGACAACAGCATGGGCGGGGAAGAAGACTTCCAGGTCCTCACGATCGAGGCGGAATCAGCAATAGAGGATAGGATGTATCAGTTGTGCATCGCTGGCAAACCTGAAGGTGAAGAAGCTGGCAACCGACTGAACCAAGAGTCGCCAATGGTGAAGTCCCTTTTGATGAAGTCGACAATCCAGGAAACTGGAATGAGTATATCTACAAGAGCAGGCAATACAAAGGCCACAGCCTACCTTCTGGTGCCCAACCCGTTCCTGTTTTGGAAGGGGGTAAGCGAACCATCAATGGATGGGAGTTTCACTATGGTCCTTGGACTCCTGATGATGAAGGAGATGATGGACCAGGATCCTTCAGAAGCGGTGCAACAACGGAAAATATGTTTCCGGAAAGTCGCAAAGGCTGCTTGAGTGTTGCCACACTCAAGTTGCTTGGCCTCACCAAGTCGCGAATGGATGGCGACGATGCCCTGTTCTTCTACCAACTGTTGTATCCTATCTGTGACCCAAAGAGGTCTGGTGTTGCAAAGGATCCACGCGAAGCGTATTACTTTGATGTCGAAACCTTCACCAGGAAATATGCGGCCTCCTTGGAATACGGTGGTTCGTATGGCCAGACTATCAAGCCTGTCCTGGCGGCAGAACTTCTGAAGTTCCATGGCATCATGGTTCGAGATGGCGTTCATGGAGGCAGCAGGGGTGCCGTCTACCGTCTATGGGACCCAACTTGTTCATGCTATGACAAAGACGTTGTGAATGCACTCAGCCTCTATCGATTTCGACAAATCAAAAGGATCATCAAGCTCAATGATAATGCCAAAAGCAAACCTCGTGGCCATGAACTGTACGATCCTGCACATAAGTATGACATGGCATACAGAGTGGTCGTTGCTAACTGTAACAGCTTGACACTGTATGCGGAGAGTGACTTGTGCTGTGACGAGATGACATGGAAGTTCATGGGGTACGGAGAAGGCGGCGTTGTCCGACGAATCGTAGGTAAGTCCCTTGTCTTTAAGTGTCAGGAGGTGGTTCTTAAAAGTTGCGATCGTGCGTGCGCCATGGGCCTGATGGATATCCCTCCACGCTCCCAGTACCTCTTTCAGGACTCCCACGAAACTGTCCTCAACAAATCACTCGAAGATCGTCAACATTGGCTGCGCCTTGTCTCCCGTGAGAGAGCAATCAACCGTCGCTCTCTAGCCAGGCAACGCAGATGATCTTTGACCTGGCGCGACCCGCCAACCCAACATCGACTCGGCCAACTGGCGCTAGTCCATAAACAGTCAGATGTCTCGGCCATCTCTCTGTCCCTCTATGTTTCACTCTCCCTCTGTCGACCACAGGACTCGGGAACTGCAGTCTGTCACGTAGATGGTCGCCACCTTGTTCTGGAACACTGTGCCATTGGGACGCTCTCCATTCACTTGGATCGATACGCCCAGGGCATTAGGGCGCAAGAACAATTGGCTTCCCACCTGCTACACAATCATGCCCACCATCACCTTCAAAAAACTCAAAAACAAAATAAAAATACGCCGCCCCGAGTGGCAAGATCGTTTCTACATGTGCAAGGGTGCAATGTAATATCCGATGAGAGCAACTTCCCTGGGATTGGATGCCTCACACTGGTTCAACAGTACTGGACTCACCTCCGTATGGTAAATGGCCATGACAGCCGTTAACGGCAATCTAGAAACTTGAGATAGTTTTAATACGATTAATGCATCAGTTATATATATCAATTTGTCAGTTTCTATTGAGCACAAAAGGAGTTCAATGTTCGTGTGACCGGTATCTTCGCCATTGCCCCCATCTTTCTTCTCATCTTGGATCTTCTTCTTGAACCATGCTGTCGCCTTGTGCGCATTCCGTTCATCCTGCCAACAATTCACCGCAATATGACCAACCTTGCCACACATGATGTTGCAAGTTATGTTGTTCCTCCCGCGTTCTCTATCCTCAGTACACTGGAAAACCATGTGACCCTTCTTTATACAACGGTAACATATCACCTCTGCATTGTCCACTGATGAAAGTTCCACTTCTTTGGCTGTGGAGGTTTTCTTTGTCTTTGCTGCCGGGTATATGATACGCCATTGCGCATGCATCGCTTCTTGGATGTCCTCCAATGTAAGTGCATTCCCTTTGTTTCTCATTTCTGCTGTGATTGTGGCACCATATTTGATAGGTGCAGCATCCAATACAATCGCAAGTAAGTCCTCCAAACTCAACTTCTGATTGACATACTTATTCTCAATTTGGCTGATCTGTTCAAACAATGTGTTTGGATCATCATCTTTCTTCATGCTTACTCGATCCATCTCACGTCTCATCTCGACCTTTGACATCACATCACTAGGTCTGTATCGCTTGAACAGATTGTCAATCACCTTGTACGCAAGGCCATTTGGCCAATCTGGCGTGACTGCATCAGCAATCATTCCCATCATTGAGGCTGAAGTGAACGCCATCGTCAGCGTCACCATGGCCAATGAATTCGCATCGCGCGACTTCTTCATCTTCTTTCCATCTGCATCATCTGCAAGGACTTCATCCTCCTTTGGTGGGAGATCTGGATCCCTTGTCCTCTGGATTGCAATTGCGAATCCAGCAATTGTGGCATACGCCTTGAATCGCATCCACCACATCTGAAATTCACTTTCTTCTCCATTGAATGTCGGGATATACATCCTCTTGGATTCCGAAGACATCATCGCCTCAGCAATCCCCAACAACAACAGCATCATTATCACAACAATGAACATGCTGGCTTACTCGCCCAGTCAAGGGTCTTCCCGTTTTATACTTCAAAGTATGCTGAAAGGCTCCTTGACTGCTACGTTTCTATTCTGTACTTTCTGTTCAATACTTGTATTATTCAGATTACTCAATGCATGTCCCAAGTAGTTCCTTACACAAGGCATATGCAAGGCATTTGAAGACAACAATGGCGCGATAGCGATCGCAACAACTGAAAACTTACGGCCACGAACAAAACACATCAATATCAAATACCATCACTTCAAACGATACGTGCGAAAAGGGTATGTGACGATTGAACGGATAGACACAATTGATCAACTTGCCGACATTGGTACCAAGCCTCTGTTGCCCCATATGTTCATACCATTGCGGAAAGCACTCATTGGATGGTAATAAATGCTCTGACTATTCGTCCTCCCAAGAGGGAGTGTGAGAATATTCAATGAATTGGAGGTTCGTACGTCACCTCACAGAGATGGGATGGACGAACAGTAGCCTCTGATGTCGTATCAACCAAGATGTTGTTGACACGATATATACACACTTTATAGATATATACTTTTACTACATTGATCCTACCCTTAAAAGACATCAGATTTTATTAGTTCCCGATCTTCTTGGTGTCGCAGGACTGATCCTGCAGGTAGTTCCACATTTCCAATAGTCAGTGCAGTGGGGCGGATCCGTGCCTCTCGAGCTGTAAGGTGTTGAGAGCACAGATGTGTAGAGAAAGACTTGTAGCCGGGTTTTGTCATCAAGAGAGGGATCTGAAGCTGTGCATCATAGTCGATAGTTTTGATACAGTCCTTTTCAAAGTGAAGTTTGACCTTGTCTCCACAAAGGACAGTAGTGCGAACTGGGTCTGCGGATCGTCCTTTCTTCGGTCCTTGGTTTGACCATTGTCGAGGGCTGAGCAGGGTCAATTTGAGGCGAGGGGCATAGTATGCATTGTGGACTTTATGTTGGTGTGTCTGTCCTGCATCGTCAACAAATGTGAGCAGTAGTGTGCCGCGTCCGACAATTGGAATGCTTGTATTTGTTGCGCCTTCAAGCTTAAGACCAAGCACCGGTTCCAGTTCTCCAATGAACATCGGTCGTGCCCCACACACAGTTGCAGACGTGCAGCTGTCAATTCCCACCGGCACAGAATCATGCTCAAAGATTAAGGATGTGTTCATGGCTCGACAGAGATGCGATTTGAAGGTCTTGATAGAAAGTTTAGTGGTTATTTTCCCAATATGACTGAGGTCGAGTCTCTGCTTGCCCATATCTCAGGAGTCATTATCGGAATCGCTCTCGTTACTTCCGTCGTCGTTTGTTGGGAATTCGCCCGTACCGTCACTGTTGCTTGCTGCGTTGTCAGATTCACTATCGTCTTCCAGCGCAAGTGCTGCCTTGAGGGCGTTGACACAAAGTTGCTTCTTGGCTCGCTTTGGGTTGCTATTGGACTGTGTCTTGCTCAATGCACAGGTATCCGAATTGTGTGGTCGCCCATCTTGTCCAATCGCTAAGACCATTTTCTTGTGTTTGTTGCACCAGTTCCATCCTTTCACTTGTCCATTTGGACCTTTCTTTTGGACCACCTTGGTCTCCTCTCCCTTCTTGGGTTTGGTAAGCATCCATCTATCGAAGTCGGTCTGCCGCTGTCTCTTGCCACTGTCGGCTGCTTCATCAACAGGTGAAGTTTTACGTTTGGATTTTTCCTTGCGAGACTGTTTCGACTTGTCCAGTTGTTGTTGGACATCGATAGTCTTCTTTTCTGCCTTGGAGATTAGTGTCGTTAAGGACACGATCTGTTGACTTTGTGAAGGGACGTTCCATACTTTCTTCTCGCCCAGGTCTAGGAATTTTGCATCGGCTTCTGACATAAGGTCTTCGTGGGGTTGGATAGCTGAATTGTCCTTTACTCCCATGAATGCTTTGAATTGATCTTGATCCACAGAGTCGTAAGCCAAAACAAGGGCGTTGTACAACAATTCTTCTGTTAGAGAGTTGCTCCCGCCCTGTTGTGCACGAATTTGTTCCTTCAGTGATGTGAATTTCTTGTTGAATTGGATAATGTTGTTGTTGAATTCACGAGGTCTCATTGTTTGAATCCGATTGATCAGCGTTTGTGTGGTGTTCCGTGTCGAAGGGCGCACAACATCACACATCACTTTAAAAATGAGAGGTCCATCGGGTTGATCATTGGGCATATTGTACAGATGCCTCTTCTGCGTCATCCGCAATTTGAACATTTCTGTCATGGACCGAAGCAAGCACATTCCGATTAAGTATCGTGCTTGAGTGTGCCAATTGGCGACCATCCAACGTTGACTGGCTTCTTGGCGTGTATCTTGGAATGTGATCTCTCCATAGTGCTTGAGTAGATTCTTTGTCCCATTTGTGGTGACAACGTTGAATAGGTCCATGCAGTTGATCGCACTGCATCTCTCCCTGAGTTCCGAGATAACCATGCTCAAGTTCTTCCCGTCAATCTTGGTCTTGAGTTCCTCCTTGGCCTCGTTATACATACTCCGATTAAGGCGACCATGCACAGGATCCTTGGGATCAATCATTGGGTCGGTCCCTTGTGGAAAGGTGGACATTGACGCCATTACAATTTGTGGTTGTTGGACTGCGGCGGCAGCAGCTGGTTGTGGTTGCGGTACCGGAGGATTTTGTAGTGGCGGCAGCTGTTGTTGTGCAGGCTGTTGTTGCGCTAGAGGCTGTTGTTGCGCTAGCGGTTGTGCCTGCTGTGGCGGCTGTTGCTGCTGTCCTTGGATCTGTTGTGCTGGTGGCTGCTGCTGCTGATGTGGCGCTGGTGGTTGCTGTTGTGCTTGAGGTTGGGCTTGCTGTGGCGGCTGTTGCTGTTGTCCTTGGAGCAGTTGCATTAGCGGCCCTATCGCATTCGCAATTTCAGTCGCAATCACTTGGCGTAACTGTGGGGTCACTGCTTGACCCGCATTGTTCCCAGCGGCTTGTGCCGGATTGTTTGCAACATTCTGGTTGTTTCCTTGGTTTGCTGCATTCGCGTCTGCACCCTGTTGTGGTGCTGCACCTTGCCCTTGATCCATTTCAACTTGGGCAGTTCTGTTGTCGATAATTTCTTCGAGGTTTTCGTCGCGAAATCGAACAGTTCTGTTGCTGTCTTGTTCCAAGGTTTCTTCTTCTTCTCCGAGTCGACGTGGTGGTTGTCCTAGATTTGTTCTTCTTGACCGTCGCGTTGACTCTCCTCCCGGCATTCAGTATGTCGTATTCAGTGTTGTAAAACGCAGAGGGAGCGTGTGAAAATCTGATGTCTTTTAAGGGTAGGATCAATGTAGTAAAAGTATATATCTATAAAGTGTGTATATATCGTGTCAACAACATCTTGGTTGATACGACATCAGAGGCTACTGTTCGTCCATCCCATCTCTGTGAGGTGACGTACGAACCTCCAATTCATTGAATATTCTCACACTCCCTCTTGGGAGGACGAATAGTCAGAGCATTTATTACCATCCAATGAGTGCTTTCCGCAATGGTATGAACATATGGGGCAACAGAGGCTTGGTACCAATGTCGGCAAGTTGATCAATTGTGTCTATCCGTTCAATCGTCACATACCCTTTTCGCACGTATCGTTTGAAGTGATGGTATTTGATATTGATGTGTTTTGTTCGTGGCCGTAAGTTTTCAGTTGTTGCGATCGCTATCGCGCCATTGTTGTCTTCAAATGCCTTGCATTTGAACCTTGGTCGTTTGTACTTGAATGATTTGATCTTCCTTGCTAGTTCTTTGAAGAATCGCATCAAACTGACCACTGTCCGTAGCGCTTGGGACAAGCAAATGTACTCCGCTTCAGTTGTACTCAATGCAATCTCTGCCTGAAGTTTTGAGTGGGAATATACAAGGCAGTTGTTAAACATGATGTGATAGCAAGTTCGTGATTTTGCTGCTGCTGGGTCTTCTGCATTGTGCTTGTTGTATCCTCCAGCGAAATCTGCATCGGCATAAACCTCAAATCCTTTATTCTTGTCAGGTTTCATGATCATTCCTTTGTCTCGAGTGTCTCTCAAGTAGGTGCATATTCTCATTATCGCATCTTCATGGGATTTCTTAGGAAACGCCATGAACCTACCAACTTGTGACACTGCAAATATGAGTTCTGGACGCGTTGAACGTGCCAACCAATTCAGCATCCCAACCACCGATCTGTAGTCCCAATTCATTCGGCGCTTCTCACCCCCTTCATCTTTGTGTAACGTTTTTGTCGCTGGGGTTTTCACTTCTTGCCGATCTCCTCTATTGAGCGACACTCCGACCGTCTGCAATATGCGTTGGATCAGTGCTGGTTGGGTTAGTTCACGACCGTCTTTGGTTCTCTTCATTTTGATGCCGAGATATTCGTTTAGGTCGCCTTTGTCGGTTAATTTATACTTGTGTCCGAGTTGTCCGATGACGTCATCAATTTCATGTCCGTTTGGACCCATCAAAATCCCATCATCAACATATACAACAAAGATCGTCTCGCCTTTGTAGAAGACTGCCTTGTCCTCACTCGACTGTACGAAACCAATTTCCTCCAGTCCTTCCTTCAGAAATTCGAACCACACACAGCTCGCCTGCTTGGTCCCATATAAGTTCTTCTTCAAAAGCAAAACGTTGTTCTCGTTCAACTCCGATCCATCAACGTAACATTCTTTCGGAATTTCCATGTACATCGGACATTCAACTTCTGCTTGTAGAAATGCCAGTACGAAGTTGATTTGTCTGGTAGTCCATCCATTGAGTATCGCCAGTGTCAGTAGGCTTCGAATTGTCTCCCAACCAACAACTGGGGAGTAGGTCTCCCAATAGTTGACGCCTTTCTCTTGCGAACTGCCATCAATGCATATTCTCGCCTTCCATTTGTAGACTTCTCCGGTTCCCACTCTCCGCTTTCGCTTCATGGACCATACTCCACGCATGGCACGGTGGCCTTCTGGCATGGAACCTCTTGGAACGACTTCCCAGTGTTTCCCCTCAGTGTGGTCTTGTATATAGCGTGTCTGAAATGACATCATAAAGATGTTCCGTCAGATATCTCTCCAAGGGTACTAGAGTGCTTTTGAAAACTGAAGAAAGGTAGGGTTTAGAGTATCCAGCTCAACATAGTGGTCAATCATCTTGTGGGTTATGGGTGCCTCTGACTCCATTCTCCTTGAATTCACTTCTCCAACAGTTTACTGCATTTGTAAGATTTCTGGGACTTGCATGTTGATAGCGTGACTGGTCAAATTTCTTCTAAGGGTTCTCAGGATTCCTGCCTTCTCCTGCAAATCCACATCTGGACTGATTAAATCAGTGCAATCTTGTACACGAATCAAAATTTCAAAGAAATCCTCTTTGAACTCCAACAAACTTGGAACGGCAAGTTGCTGTTGAAACAATTTCCCATTCCTGAATGGCCCTAACCGCTGCACCCATCTTCCAGGCTTCAATCTTGAAATTCCAGTCACAGCTATGCAAGGAATCTCAAATCCACGTCCTGCTATAAGCATACCCTTAGTGCGTCCCTTGATACGGACCAGGAAATGCGGACCCTCCTCAAGTGCAAGAAACTGCAGGCTCAAAGCGGTCTCACTCAACTCAACCAAAGGCATCTTTTCACAAGTCCAACGCAAAAGCCCATGACAAACCAAGCTCCCATCTCTGCTATTTGCTTCCTTTCCATCTCATTGTTTTTGTTGATCCACAGAATATTAAAAGAGCGTGATCAATGTATTTCATGACTTCAATTGGCAATGGCCAATTGGATTTAGTAACCTCGCCCACTCTCTTGTGTAGACCTGTCATGAACCGTGTATACCAGAAGCTGGCTGTGTGTAGCTACACTGGAGATCCGTTGTTTTAGTTTGTTCATACATCATCAGGGCGTCACCCAAACCAAGTGGGCTTGCCTGATGGACATTGGTAATTGCCAATCGGGTCTTCCAAAAAGTTTCCCATTGAACAAACCCTTCATACAATCCTGGATTCAACCACTTGTCCAAAACAGCAATAGCTGCCTTCATTCCCAATGTATCTTCAAAAGGGAACGTACCAAACGGGGGGAGAGACTGGATCAAGTTCTAAGCGTTCAAAACATGACTCCGCTTGCAGCAAGACTCCAAGATTCTTCTTCACCATAGATGATTCCCTTGCCCAAAAGGCGTCAAGATTTGTGCGCCAGATATGCTCCAAAATCTCCTCATCCTCCTTGGGCTGTCCCGGATCTGGCAACCGTTTGGCCAAATTCCTGAAATGACATATGTCACATTGAAATCGAACCATCAGCATGTCACCTGCTTGAGCCCGCACAAACATATTGTCCTCCTTGTAGAAGCATTCCATTGTCGTCCAAGGTCTGCCAAATAGTGAAAGGTTTAACTCCTTGTGAGACATAGCACTTTTCACAATACGCCGCTTGGCAAGGGGCATAAGACCCTTGCCCGTACAAGCAGTTTCTGCAGAAGATTCCATTTTGCACTGTCACTCTTTCTTTCTTGCAACTGGGGCGACAACAGAAGTCCTCCCTTTGTCCAACAACTTCTTACATTCCCTGATTTGTGGACCAGAGACAGAGTAAGGTAAGCAGGCAAAACATAACAGAGGCTCATAGTGCACCTTGTGTCATTCCAATCAATTCTGCAATTAAAATCGCAAGTGCGCGTCATCATCCCTCTCCATGATTAACTTTGTTTCCTTTAAAATATTTTATAGTGATTAGCAAATTGCCTATGCACTTGACCTCCTCCCTAATTATTGCGCTGGGGAACGCTGCTACTCTACTTGTCACTTTAGTCTAGTTGTCTTAGGCATAATGATCCGTGATCAGTTACTACCATATACTGGGTACAAGTGCTGCGCCACAGACAGCTTTTTGTTCATAGTTATTGGACATCTACCTGCACAAGGCATCGTCCATTCCAACTTGGTCACCTGCTCGTCATTACTAGCATAACACTGAGAGCGACAACTGTGGATGTTGGTTTTGGACTGTGGTACATGACATGTCACTGACTAATGTTTCCACGGTCCCTCTGAATTGCAATTGTTGCGCCAACACAGGATGAGAGACCAGAGTTTGCAGAGGCATACTAAGCTGTTATCTCCGCTTCCGACTGTCCCAAGATAGCCCCCCCGTGCGCTTCTACGTCACCGGTTGCTACCGCACTTGTAATCATTACAGGACCTTGTGTGCCTAGTAAGCCTGATGTACCAGTAGGGCACACAACTAGATCACCGTTCACCCCGTATGAACGAGCGTGGACATTGATGTTGCACATCATATTTGGGGTTCCAGACATGTTTGGTCTTGGGTTTTGACACTGTAGATCAAGAGCTCACCTCAGTCTTATACTAGTATCTTCTGCCCAGTGCACTGTGTAGGTTTTGTAACTAAGTTCCCTTGCTATACGATCTGCTGATACAAGAGGATTTTCCGCCCTACACACCACTTTCTGTATTTTGCCACTGTTTATTTGTAAGATATTTTGTGAACTGTTCCCGCCCATTACAAAAACTGTTAGACCAGAGCCTGCAGCAGCGGCCAGGAGAAGTGACATTGAAATACCGATTACACTTCTGAGTCACCGCCCTCTCTCATAGGCCGAGAATGTCATAGACTGTATGTTATTATTTCCCATATGAGCAGTAGGCTCTCTGATTTTTGCTGATTGCTGCAACATGATTCCGTCACACGTGTTGCAAATGCTGTTTTCCGGATCTGTGCTTGCATACATACCGGAGTTTGTGTTTTCCCCAAGAGTAAAGAGGCCACCGCCCCTGTTTTGCTCAGTGTCGTGAGACCCACTGGCTGCTCTCGTGGTCATATTTGGCTCCGAGACGGGGAGTTGTTAATGCAACAAGATCTGGAAACACTGGTTCTGTACCAGTGGAGCAGTGTGTGCAGATAAGTTGGATTCTCAGTAACTACAGTACGATATTGCGTCGATGAGGAAAACAATGCTTTTTCCAATTCAATGGCATACTTCAATGTAGAAACCTACGTAGGTCCTACTGAGAAGCTTGCATTTTGCCGTTTGGCAAAATGACCGAGACTTCCAGACTTCAAACGTATGTGCTCGATCCATGATGGCTGGGCACGAATGAATGAATCGGTCTGGGTCAGGTACACGCACGAACGTGCAGGATGCTTGATCGCTTTATCGCAACGGTCATTGAAGACATGTCTCGAACACGGCGAATCCAATATTTGTATCAATGACGAAGGCTGGTTTTTCGACATAATGGGGTCACCTTCTCTTTTTCTATCCTCCATGATGCATTTGCTGATATATCGGACCTGCCACGTTGCTCGTTAAAGAACACTTCTGGGAATATTAGTGCCTCTCACATGGAGGGACCAATCGGAATCGGAAACTTCCAGACTTATTATTCTTTGTAGGTTGAATGTCACTAATTATCGATTCACGGAATGTCGAGGTACGAAGCAACATTTGCTACTCCGGGAGATTGTCCGAGATTATTATTTTCTGCAACTTCCGCTTTTTTGTTTCCAGTGCACCTACCGTCATCTCCCAACAACATCATGAAGATGGTATCGCTATCAAGGGATTCTAACAGCTCCCTAGATGATCAAAGTGTCAAGACCTATGACTCAAAGGGTCGATTAACCAGCCGAAAAAGGAAAGGATCAACCCGAGATGCTCAAAAGAAGCGACGCTCTGCTTTGAGAGCGGTGTTGATTTTGAGTTTGCTATTCGCGATAGCCATGTGCTCTTCTTTAGCATACACACAGCTGCAATCAACAGAAGAGAATGTAGGAATTCAAACTTATCAATCCATTGCGCTAAGTGCTACCGAAGGGGCTGTGGCAATCACTGAACGGAAGTTTCAGGGTTCTGAAGTCATGTCAACTCTGCTCGGACAACTTTACCCAAACGCTGCTGACTGGCCGCTGGTTGCCTTTGATGGATACATCCCAATTGCTCAAAAGGTTGCATCCCTTTCTGCTTCTGGTACTCAAGCATTTATGGTCATATTGGACCCATCAGAGGCACCTGCCTTTGAGACTCACATCAAACAGGTCTACAGGGACCAAGGACGTCCAGAAAATGCCGGATACAGTGATTTCGGTTTTGGTGTTTGGAGACGAGACGGAAATGAAACAAAGACATACCCTGATGGAAGGCTCCATGATGTTACGGGAGGAAACAGCTGGGGTGGAACACGGAACAAGATGGCTGTTTTGGCCATGCACAACTCACCTGCTGCAAGTAGTCTTTTGTTGAATCTCTACCCCTTACAAAGTCGAGGAATTCATGTGGAGAGCATGTTCGACTGTGTCGATGCTCATGACAACGCAACGACAAGTCCATCGTGTCCAGTTGTAACTGACATGCTGGAACTTGTGGTAAGTAATGATGTGTGATGTGTGAACGGTGGGACCAAGTCTAAAGATTTTTGTGTTTCGTTCAAAGGTAAAACCAGGCCCTGCAGGCCTCTTGTTTAATCCAATCTTCCCCAAGAATGAGCCAAACAACTTTGTCGGATTTGCAACAACCTCTTTGCACTGGGATGAGGTGCTGACAAATGTTGTTCCCGATTACGTGAGTGGCTTGACTTGCGTCGTGTCAACCGCTACAAGTGCCTTCACATACGAGATCCAGAATGGTAAACCAACACTTGTGGGTGATGGTGACCTCCACGACGATAAATATACCAGTTATGCTAAGACCGTGGTTCTGACCCGGTTTCAAACAGGGTCAACCTCCTCAGCGGGGTATACTTTGACCGTGTACCCAACAGAAAAAATGTTCAAAGCCTTCAGCACCGATAGTCCAGTGATTGTCTCTCTCGGTTTTGCTGCAGTAATTACTGCTGTAGCCTGTCTGTTTTTTGGATATGATTTTTTGATGCGTCGTGAGGCCGAGCAACGAAAGGTCATTTTAGAAATGAAGCGCAAGTTTGTGCGTTTCATTTCCCACGAAATTCGCACTCCTTTGAACACTGTCTGCATGGGTCTCGAGTTGCTACAGGCTGAACTGAGGGCTCCAAAAGGCTTGGATGGAGATTCAAAGGTTGCTCAAGAAGAAGATATCAACTTTTGGTTGAATGTTACTGACGACACCAACGAGAATGCACATGTCGCAGTGGAAATTCTCAATGACTTGTTGAACTATGACAAGCTAGAGACCGGAACTTTAGAACTCGAGACTCAGCCTGTCCTCATTTGGGACTTAATAGAGAAGACTGTCAGTCAATTTGGCATTCAAGCAGTCAACAGAAAAGTCGAGCTCAAGTTGGACATGGAACGCCCGTCTGGCGAAACCATCCCCGACGTTGAAGGTGCCGAGAGCATGGATCCTTACAATGTTATCGGTGATAACGTCCGCCTAGGTCAAATTCTCCGAAACGTGATTTCAAATGCACTTAAGTTCACCATGGAGGATGGTCTCATTCAAGTGACAGTCCGGTATGATCCCAATGGATTACCAAATGCAGACCTAATGATGCTAGAAGATGAAGCAGTACCTAGCCATGACAGAGCAGGTTCGATTTGTATCAGCGTCAAGGATAGTGGAGTTGGTCTGAGTAGGGACCAGCTGGATCGGCTGTTCAGCGAGGGTGTGCAATTCGACGCAAACCGCCTACAACACGGAGGTGGTAGTGGTCTTGGATTGAATATTGCAAAGGGTCTCGTGGAACAGCACTGTGGCACCATTTTCGCTGATTCTGAGGGACTCGGGGAAGGAACTACGTTTACAGTTGAATTACCTTTGTACGAATTTGGTGAAGAAGAATTGAGGAAAGCTGAAGACGATAAGGACAGTGAGACAGAACCCACTACAGCCAATTCCAGTGTGGCAACAAAAGTCGACCATACTGGCGAAATTCGGCTTGCTGCATTACCACTTAAACGACGAATATTGGTTGCGGAGGACTCGGATTCGAGTCGGAAAATGCTGATCCGTCTGCTGGAACGTGCTGGCCACACTTGTGTTCCAGCATCAAATGGTAAAGAAGCAGTGGAATGCATTAAGAAGGACATGAAATGTACATCGTATGACCCAGGTCATATACCGATTGATTGTGTTTTGATGGATTACGAAATGCCTTTGCTGCGTGGCCCCGATGCCACCAAGCGTCTTCGAAACTTGGGATTTTCGGGGATCATCCTGGGTGTTACAGGAAATGTTCTGTCGGAGGATGTTGATTTCTTCTTGCGACATGGAGCAAATGAAGTTATGCCGAAACCTATTAGCCTGAAGAATATTCAGAAATTCTGGAAAGACTACGAAAGTGGAAATTGGAAGGCAAGGCAATCGCTCAAGCACGTCCAATAGGGATCTACGGGAACAGCGACTTTTTCATTTCTACCATTCATTGGAGATCATCAACCAAAACACCAATATTCACAGCTTGCTGTGGGGCGAAATGTTTTGCCGACACTATAGTATATCCGAGACTGGACATCTGTGGTTCTTTTCGACCATGTACAGTATTTAACCAAAAAAACATGTGGTCACTCGTCTTCGAGATGGCCACCTGATTATTTTTCTCCCGTCACTTCATGCAGGGACAGAAAGAACTAAAGGAACACTTCAACAATGTACCGCGACACGTGTAAGTTTCCATGGAATAAAGCATTCATCCGCTGACAGGAATTCCCAACTCGAACTGCACTGATTTGCTCACAAAATTAATTTTGCAATCATTGGCAATGTCTTCCAATCTCGCAGACAACAGAGTCATCATGCAGAGCTATAGGTCTCCCATGACCTCAGATGATGATCTTCTAATCTCTCTCCTTCAATTCCATCCACAATCTTCAGAAGAGGAGTCTCCTGCTGCTGAGTCCTCCTCTCCTAATGAAGACGATGTTGGCCGCAACTGCCCAGTGACGTACGAGCAACCATTCGATGATCCAGACATGGAGCCGGCGCCTTTCGAATCTGACACCGTCTCAAGCGTAGAACCACTACCACTATCTGATCTTCCCTCCTCTAAGCCTTCGTCCCTTCAACACGAAACTAGGGAAGCAGATCTTATTCAAAGTGCGTTATCCATTCTTTTCGAAGCCCCCAACGACATTGTTCCGTGCAAGAGAACCTCCGAAGATCTCCTATCAGCTACAACCACTCGCTCTCATTATTTCAAGCGTCAGAGACTCAGCCCCGAAGAAGTATCTTGTGATCAAACGGTGATGCGATTCCGCCCGTATCAAGATCAACAATGGAATGGAATGTTCCAAAAACTCGTCCAGTACAGGCTCAAACATGGGCACTGCAGTGTACCACATTCCTATCAAGAAGATCGGATGCTTGCCCGATGGGTCAAGAGGCAGCGATACCAGCATACGAAACTCAAAGCCAAAGACCCTTCGTCTACCATGAACCATGACAGCCCGCCGTATTCAACAGCTCGAGTCCATCGGCTTTGTTTGGCATTCCCATGAATCTGCGTGGCAGACAAAGCTAAACGAGCTCAAGGCATTCAAGCAAAGGACAGGACATTGCAATGTCCCATCGGACCATTCTAAGAATTCGTCCTCGTTGCCAGCATGGATCAGGTGTCAGCGAAGGCAGTACTTATTGTGGAGATATGGCTACAGTTCCACAATGACAGAAAAGCGATATGAACTATTGAAGTCGCTGGGATAATTTTGAGAAATTTGGAGGACTGCAGCGGGCACGAAGCGTCTGAGCACGCTATAAAGCGTACTTAGAGAAAGGGGTAGACATGTAAAACAGCTGCATTTGATTATATGAGTACAAATAGTAGTCCTTTTCAAGTGTCACAGATGTATTGATCTGGTACAGTTGTGCTGGATTCCAGGATATGGTGGTAGTTACACTACTAAACGGAAGTACCCGGGGCGACTTCGTCAAACAATTCCTTCAGGACGAGCTCTTGGGCTGCCACAGTATTGTCGTCAAAATCATTAGATGATGATTCTTGGACAATTTGCCAAATATCATCCACGACTTGTCTCAACTTAGGATGAATCAAGGACTCGTCTAATTTGGGCAAGTCTTGAGTAGCTTGCCACTCCTTCCAAGCGTCTTCCAACAGTTCGTCGTTGTGATTCCAAAAATCGTAGACTTTCTGGTCCCGACGCAAGGTTTCTTCCCGACTTGGCAATTCCAAGGCACGTGCCTTGTCCAAGGCTGTCGTTGCTATTTTGGTTGAAATTTTGCACTGCTGCTGCTGGGCAGATGAAGCAGAAGAAACGTGTGCTCGAGACGGAGATCCAGATGTCATGTTGTTGCTGGCTGATAATGCAATGGCAGATGTTGTTGTCGTCGTTGTTGTCAAAGCTTGAACAATTGGAGCAGCAACACGGATCGACTTTGTCAATTTCATCTCCGTGGCCAATCTCGCTTGGGCAGTTTTATGATCATGGTACTACAACAACAAACATTTGTGCCATTGTCAAATGACTTCGAACGAAGGATTTCGGTTTTCGGTTGCAACCAGACAACGTAGATTTTGAACGGCAAAACGTGGCATGGTACTGTACTTGAGTGTATAGGTTTCTCGTATAATTGGTCGTCTGCCCTGAACAGGGGTGATAGAAAGACTGTATCTGTACAATGTAAATATCATCGCAGTTGAAGTCTGTCTGTCGTATCGCCCACTCCAAAACCCCAAAGAAATATTTGCTGCAAAAAGATCCATTCTGAAATCAATGATGACATCAGCTCCCAAAGTTACTTGGACCAAGGTTACACCAGCCCCTGATCCCACACATGGGTCTCCCATTCCTCGAAGTTCTCATGGTTTGAGTATCGTTCAGAATGGGACTCGTCTCATCCTTTTAGGAGGTGAACATGTGGCACGAACCCCGATTGACGTTTCCAACAGCCATTGGGCCGCCGATTTGATGGACGATGGCAAGTGGCAATGGCGCTTGCTGTCACCAGCCGCCACTGGACCCACGGATCGGATTGCACATGCGCAAGCAGTTCACAAGGACTCTTTTGTATACATCTTTGGTGGCCGCGCTGGGATTACCATGCAAGAAAAGGCCATGAGCGATCTCTGGAAATTAGATGTTTCGGCAGCACCTGGGACGGAAACATGGAGTCAAGTTGAAGCTACGAATGAAGGACCAGAAGCACGGTCATTTCATCGCATGATCTGCATTGGTGATTTTCTGTACATGTTTGGTGGGTGCACTCCCACTGGACGGGAAAACGACTTGTGGAGATTTGATGTACTCGCGAAGAAATGGGAAAACCTAGGTCGTAGTGCTTTGTTAAGAGGTCGCGGGGGTCCCAATCTAGTACCCTTGGCATCTGGATCCTTGATGGGAGTTGTAGCTGGTTTTGCCGGCGAGGAAACTGCGGATGGACACGCTTTTCACATTGCCAACAAAAAGTGGGAAAATTCTGGATTAGAACTCGAGGGCATGCGACCCCGAAGTGTCTGTGTGGCAGCTTCCTTCCCTTCTGTAGGGAAGTCAATCGTTTTTGGAGGCGAGGTAGACCCCAGTGATCGTGGACACATGGGCGCTGGAGGCTTTGAGAATGATATTGTGATACTAGACGAAGCGACTGGAAAGTATGAAACGACCATCGCTGGTGGGACATCTTCGGACTGGCCCGCGACTCGTGGTTGGTCCGATGCATCATCGTGCGACAATGGAAAGGGTCTAGGACAGGTGTTTGTCTTCGGTGGACTATCAGGAGACGACAAGAATCCCACGCGATTGGACGACTTGTGGATCCTACAAGTCGAGAAATAGACTATGACAATAATTACCTAGAAAATAGGTATTAACAGATTACTGCTCATAATATTTTGTGCTCCTCGAAGACATTAGGTTACAATTCCATGTCCACTGCCGATACTAGAATGGGCGTGGTCCATTGTCCTGTCTACAGAGCAGTCTACAGTACCGTACAAGCGATGCTGTCCAATGAAAGGAATCAGTCCAGTCGAGTCCGTTTGCACATGCCAGACTGATGGATTTGCCGGGAAATGAGTTTGGGCCTTTTAGGAATTTATTAGACAGTATTATAGTGTCTTGATAATCAAAAGATGGAGGATGCGCACAATTGAACCTATCCACCAAGTGCAAACTATCTTCGTACTGTAGCGCAGCAAGCTCGACCCAATGCCCCTGATAGAGCTTGTTTCTTGCAAGAGGTTTTGTTCTGATACATGTGACGGCTGTTTGTTCTCTTTCATTGTAGCTGGTAGAGGTCATAGAACAGATGTCTTGAACACGGCGAACCCAATGTTTATATCAATGCAGAAGGCTGGTTTTTTGACATAATGGGTCACCTTCTCTTTTTCTTGGATTTCGCAAATATCAGACTTGCCAGGTTATTACTCGTCAATGAACACTTCTGGAATATAGGGTCCCTCTCACATCGAGGGACCAAGCGGAATCGGAAATTTCCAGACTTATCGTTCTTGGCAGGTTGAATGTCACTAATTATCGATTCACCCGTTAATGGATTGTCACTTCGTAAGTGGTGGTGCGCTACGATCAGGTCCAGCCACCTCTGCGACTTTTTTCCAATACTGTACTCCTCGGGAGATTGTCCGAGATTATTGTTGTCTGTAACTTCCGGTTGTTTGTTTCCAGCGTCCACCATCATCTTCTCCCAACAACAACATGAGGAGGGTATCGCTATCAAGGGATTCTAACAGCTCCCTAGATGACCAAAGTGCCAAGACCTATGACTCAAAGGGTCGATTAACCAGCCGAAAAAGGAAAGGATCAACCCGAGATGCTCAAAAGAAGCGACGCTCTGCTTTGAGAGCGGTGTTGATTTTGAGTTTGCTATTCGCGATAGCCATGTGCTCTTCTTTAGCATACACACAGCTGCAATCAACAGAAGAGAATGTAGGAATTCAAACTTATCAATCCATTGCGCTAAGTGCTACCGAAGGGGCTGTGGCAATCACTGAACGGAAGTTTCAGGGTTCTGAAGTCATGTCAACTCTGCTCGGACAACTTTACCCAAACGCTGCTGACTGGCCGCTGGTTGCCTTTGATGGATACATCCCAATTGCTCAAAAGGTTGCATCCCTTTCTGCTTCTGGTACTCAAGCATTTATGGTCATATTGGACCCATCAGAGGCACCTGCCTTTGAGACTCACATCAAACAGGTCTACAGGGACCAAGGACGTCCAGAAAATGCCGGATACAGTGATTTCGGTTTTGGTGTTTGGAGACGAGACGGAAATGAAACAAAGACATACCCTGATGGAAGGCTCCATGATGTTACGGGAGGAAACAGCTGGGGTGGAACACGGAACAAGATGGCTGTTTTGGCCATGCACAACTCACCTGCTGCAAGTAGTCTATTGTTGAATCTCTACCCCTTACAAAGTCGAGGAATCCACGTGGAGAGCATGTTCGACTGTGTCGATGCTCATGACAATACAACAACAAGTCCATCGTGTCCAGTTGTAACTGACATGCTGGAACTTGTGGTAAGTAATGATGTGTGATGTGTGAACGGTGGGACCAAGTCTAAAGATTTTTGTGTTTCGTTCAAAGGTAAAACCAGGCCCTGCAGGCCTCTTGTTTAATCCAATCTTCCCCAAGAATGAGCCAAACAACTTTGTCGGATTTGCAACAACCTCTTTGCACTGGGATGAGGTGCTGACAAATGTTGTTCCCGATTACGTGAGTGGCTTGACTTGCGTCGTGTCAACCGCTACAAGTGCCTTCACATACGAGATCCAGAATGGTAAACCAACACTTGTGGGTGATGGTGACCTCCACGACGATAAATATACCAGTTATGCTAAGACCGTGGTTCTGACCCGGTTTCAAACAGGGTCAACCTCCTCAGCGGGGTATACTTTGACCGTGTACCCAACAGAAAAAATGTTCAAAGCCTTCAGCACCGATAGTCCAGTGGTTGTCTCTCTCGGTTTTGCTGCAGTAATTACTGCTGTGGCCTGCCTGTTCTTTGGATATGATTTTTTGATGCGTCGTGAGGCCGAACAACGGAAGGCCATTTTGGAAATGAAGCGCAAGTTTGTGCGTTTCATTTCCCACGAAATTCGCACTCCTTTGAACACTGTCTGCATGGGTCTCGAGTTGCTACAGGCTGAACTGAGGGCTCCAAAAGGCTTGGATGGAGATTCAAAGGTTGCTCAAGAAGAAGATATCAACTTTTGGTTGAATGTTACTGACGACACCAACGAGAATGCACATGTCGCAGTGGAAATTCTCAATGACTTGTTGAACTATGACAAGCTAGAGACCGGAACTTTAGAACTCGAGACTCAGCCTGTCCTCATTTGGGACTTAATAGAGAAGACTGTCAGTCAATTTGGCATTCAAGCAGTCAACAGAAAAGTCGAGCTCAAGTTGGACATGGAACGCCCGTCTGGCGAAACCATCCCCGACGTTGAAGGTGCCGAGAGCATGGATCCTTACAATGTTATCGGTGATAACGTCCGCCTAGGTCAAATTCTCCGAAACGTGATTTCAAATGCACTTAAGTTCACCATGGAGGATGGTCTCATTCAAGTGACAGTCCGGTATGATCCCAATGGATTACCAAATGCAGACCTAATGATGCTAGAAGATGAAGCAGTACCTAGCCATGACAGAGCAGGTTCGATTTGTATCAGCGTCAAGGATAGTGGAGTTGGTCTGAGTAGGGACCAGCTGGATCGGCTGTTCAGCGAGGGTGTGCAATTCGACGCAAACCGCCTACAACACGGAGGTGGTAGTGGTCTTGGATTGAATATTGCAAAGGGTCTCGTGGAACAGCACTGTGGCACCATTTTCGCTGATTCTGAGGGACTCGGGGAAGGAACTACGTTTACAGTTGAATTACCTTTGTACGAATTTGGTGAAGAAGAATTGAGGAAAGCTGAAGACGATAAGGACAGTGAGACAGAACCCACTACAGCCAATTCCAGTGTGGCAACAAAAGTCGACCATACTGGCGAAATTCGGCTTGCTGCATTACCACTTAAACGACGAATATTGGTTGCGGAGGACTCGGATTCGAGTCGGAAAATGCTGATCCGTCTGCTGGAACGTGCTGGCCACACTTGTGTTCCAGCATCAAATGGTAAAGAAGCAGTGGAATGCATTAAGAAGGACATGAAATGTACATCGTATGACCCAGGTCATATACCGATTGATTGTGTTTTGATGGATTACGAAATGCCTTTGCTGCGTGGCCCCGATGCCACCAAGCGTCTTCGAAACTTGGGATTTTCGGGGATCATCCTGGGTGTTACAGGAAATGTTCTGTCGGAGGATGTTGATTTCTTCTTGCGACATGGAGCAAATGAAGTTATGCCGAAACCTATTAGCCTGAAGAATATTCAGAAATTCTGGAAAGACTACGAAAGTGGAAATTGGAAGGCAAGGCAATCGCTCAAGCACGTCCAATAGGGATCTATGGGAACAATGATTCATGTATATACGACTTTGTCATTTCTACCATTCATTGGAGATCATCAACCAAAACACCAATAACTGCAAGACTAAGCTGTTAAACTATAATTTATTCTCCGATTTTGACTCGTTCTGCCTCCTTGTAAATTCAACTCGCATCAATTTTTATCTTGGGAAACAAGATGAGCAGTATTTTGTTGTTCCAACTGCAAGATAAGAGATGTCACCTTCTCTTCTAGAGCGGGAAGGTATTTCTGTACCATCTCTCGACTTTCAACGCGCTGCTTCTGTGCCTGCTGTATTTTTATTTCGATTTGAGGTTTGTTTGCTTCCAGTGATTCGTTCATGCTTTTGAGAAACTTCACATCTTCTTTCACCTTGCTATTTTTCTTTTGCAACGATTGCAGACGCTGTTGTAGTTGTCTCTTTTCTTGCCGTAGTGCCGCCAGATAAGGATTTTCACTCTTGGTTGCTCCAGGTTTCCTCTCTATTCCATGCTCCTGGCGCAGCTCTTGCAACCGTCCTTCATAGAATATCCGCTGTTGCTCCAGTTGTGACTTCAAGAGAGTATAATATTGACTTGCATAGCCTTCCAGTTTTCGATGAAGCACCTCGCCCTCTTGTGTTTCCGACAGGCCTGGACTCTGAGTCCGCTCCAAACTTGCCATGGAGTACGGATCCGAAACTTCCACAAGCTTACCGTCTTGCTTGTTTTGTAAGAGTCGATGAACATAGCCCTGACCTGCAAAGTCCCAGACGTGTTGTGTTTGGGTGTCCAACGCATAAGCATGCAAGGTTTCGTCATAGTGTTTCCTGGCACAACTTCGATTGAACTGGCGGGCTGTAAAGTCGTCATCTCGACTTGGATGCAGCGTGGAAGATGGGGAGGCTGCTACTGCTGCTGGTCGCGAAGTAACCCTCCGGGGACTACCAATTGCCTTGCACGACGTCTTGTCGCTGTCGTGGAACTGACAACTAGTGCTATTCTCACTGGAATTTAGAAGATCCGAACCCTGACCATCATCTAACGGAGTTACACAAGAAACCACACCGCATATCAGACAAACATAGTTGTTCTCGGTGGTCCCACAGATGTGGCATTGACTCAACGCATCGTTCAATCCAGCATGGTCATATCGGCACACTGGACATGGTGAGTCTTGGCACTTCAATATGCAATCCAAATGGAAGGTATGATTGCAAACAGTGGTGAAGATCCCTGGAGAAGACGTCTGATTCTTCGAGTTCATATGTTCCAAACAAACTGCACAGTTGAAGTCGTCCGGGACGTTCCCTGCAACACCTAGAGCTCCTGCACTCATGGTTGTTTGTTTGGACGCAAACAAGGGATTCAATAGTGACACTCCGTTATGACCATTCAGCGCTACCACAGGAACAGGTTTACACGTGATGGTTTCATCAAGAAAGGTGTAGGGTCTACCGTCCAGCTCATGGCAAAAATCATCAGCAGCTTCAGGTGAAGACATATGGAATAGAATAAGATAAGTCTTGTCGTTGTCTTCGTTATTGTCCAAAGAACCGCCGTCCTCCAAAACGTCGATTACAATTCGAACATGCAAGATCCACGGTCTATGCGATCTTGCCAAGTTCAAGATCCCTTCAGTAACTTGGTCTGGTGGAACCTCGACCAAAGCAACCATAGAATCAACATTGCACCCTTCATTCTGTTGTTGTTGTTTGAATTCTTCTAACGATTCTGCACTGATTTCTTGCTGCGATTTGGTCTCCTTCTCCAGCGTGTATACATCTCCACCGTAAGTTCCCAGTGCTGGATTTCCAAACAGAATGGGTCTTCTTCGTAGTTTGGAAGTGCTCATGTGTGCTCATGTGTGCTCATGTTGTGCTTCTGAAATTGCTTTAATTGCGTCTCGTAAAGTTTTTCTGAAAGGTTCTTTTCGTTTCTCCATTACTCCGTTTCCCATTTTGCATCATTTGCAACAAGCCTCAATACTCGCAGCATTTAATGGCCATACTGATGTCCGGACTCAATTAGACGAGGACTACAAAACAAGGTGCTAGTATCGAAGAAAGATGGTGTCAAGTGGAGTGACAAGAGATGAATTCTGAACCAGTCCTTATGCATGTGAAGGAATCAAGAACCAACAAGTCTTTCATAGGTATGCAGAGTTTCTGATGATTCTAACCACCCTTTCATCGTCATCTTCTATACCTTTTATTACTACCATTATCTTCAGAAGGATACGAGTTCCCGTCTCGCTGATCCTGATAGCCGCGCTTCCCTCTTGGTGACTGTCCTCGGTCCTGTGGCCGACTTTGATCATCTTTGCCCCTACCACGACCATCTCTAGCATAACGATCATCATTGTAACCTCCTCGTCCTGCCCTTCTAGACCGATCCTCGTCACGGTATCCTCGCCGATTGTCGAAACGTCGAACATCTTGCGGTGGGCCACGATTTTGTTGTGGGCGACCATTGTACTGTGGCCGCTGTTGCTGTGGTCGTGGCGGTCGTCCCTTTGAATATTGTCGTTCTTCGTTAGTCGAATACTCCCGTCGCTGGTCTTGACGACGATGTTGAGGGGGTCGGCGCTCGGGATATTCCTTTTGTATCAGACGGTCTCGAGTCAATCGGTATCGAAAGGGCAGTGGTTTCTCGTGACGCCGGACTGGCTGCGTCGACTGATATACCAAGGCTTGTTCGACGTCCCACGAAGATTTGCAATCTGATGGAATCAACTGATCTTGAATGCGCTGGCAGCAATCAAAAATCGAATTGGCTGGAATGTATCGGCCGGTAGCCTGCAGTCGTTTCAAGTTTCTAGATAACAAGGTGGAGAATTCTACCCATGGTATGTTGTGCTGCTGCTTGTCATCCTCTTCCAGTTTCCAAGTAGGATGACACAGCACAAAATGAACAGGTCGGTTGGTCAAACAAGCAATATCCAAGACTTGTTGGAAGTCCTTGGCCTTGGAGTTGGTATTTCCCCACGCCAATGGAATCTCTGGTGATGCTGCCTTTACTAGATAATGAGCCACTTGAATGGCCGATTGGTTGGTCTTGGTATGAGGTTTGAAGAGGGACTCCAAGCAAAAGACGTCTGTATTAGTTGGAAGTTGAGGGTCGTCTTTGGACAAGAAGCCTTCCACCACTGAAATGAGCACTGCTGCTACATCAGGTGAAGTCTCGCCATCATTTCTTCTTTGATTGTTTCTAGAATGGACATTGTTGGAGTAATGCTGGGAAAGGGCATCTGCAAACTCGGTTGTAGATAGGTCACCGTTCCAGCGTTTCAAAATGAGATTCAACTCGGGATTATCATTCTGTATTCGTTGAGCAAGTGTCTTTCCTTGTACTTGCCGTTGCAACTCTTGTGGTATTGTCGATGATTCTTCTTCTTTGTTGTGGACATCGTTGTTGTTGTTGTTGCTGTTGCTGTTGCTATTTGGACTTGCTTTCGTCGTTATCAAAGTCAACCATTGTTGTGTGGCAATGGACACGTAGACATCCAATTGATCGTCAAGACAAACATCCTGCAGCCCATCAATATCTTTCAACACAGTCGTCTTCCCACAACACTGAGGTCCAATGGTAATATAGAGTGGCGCGGGATCTTTCTTCTTTTCTCCATTTCCAGGCAATGCTGATGATGATAATTCCGTTGCAATGGAAGACTTGGCGGCTGCCATTCTAGTCAATGCCAATAATGATGTCCTCGTCGTGGAAGGATTGGCTGGTGGTCCAACAACAAGCCTAGCGTGATCCAGCGGAAAAGATGATGTAGGACTAAGGAGGATACACAATGATGAAAGGCAAAACAGAAAGATGTTGTTGAAGCGATATATCATTCAAAAAGAGAATCCTCTTTTTGTGCCAACAGAAAGGCTATTGGCAAGAGATGTTCAATGTTGAAAATGGATGGTGGTTTGGTTTTGGATCGCAATCAGATTTTAAAAAGGGGCAAAGGGTATTTTAAAATACCTCTTTTGTTTTGTATCCAACCTCCCCCAAATATGAACTTTGCAAACAACAGCCACATTTATTTGCATTGCACAATAAGCTTCGGCTTTGCTCACCTTTTACTCCAAGAGTCAGTCCACACTAAAACTATATTTTGGGTTCTATTGAATAGAACACGCAACAGACATGAATCGACAACCTGCGAACATATTGGATCGTCCTCTGAGGGCCTCCAGGTGAGTCAATCAGCACGGAGTGTGTTGCTACTCGTATAGTATCCATCATTGTGATATCTTGTGGCATTGTTGTTGATCGCTTGTGCCAATATCCACGGCTGTACCTACTATTTGTCTTGAAATACTCAAGTTTTCTCATTTTCTTCTCGTTCTATGTTTGCACAGAGCCGGCGACACCATGGTTTCCATGAGCTCCTTTGCCTATCTTTATAGCGAACTGGTCCAGTATCATCAGAATCGCGTCGATAGCATATCCGAATTGGAACGTCGTTTGGAATCCTCTGGCTACGGAGTGGGTCTAAAAATGTTGGAGCTGCTTGCGTACCGATCGCGGGAATACAAGCGAGAAATCCGATTGATGAATGCCCTCCAATTTGTTTCGACCACGGTGTGGAAGTCTCTCTTTGGCAAGCCTGCGGATTCTTTGGAACGAAGTATAGATCATGCGGACGAATACATGATTGTCGATTACGAACCGCTGACTAGTACCTTTGTCAGTGTCCCCTCTGACTTTGGACAATTGAGCGTGGATGCGTACATGAGTGGGATCATTGCCGGTGTCTTGTCCGGGGCTGGATTTTCGGCGCGAGTCACGGCGCATTCGGTCCAACTGGAAGAAGGAGAGCACAGCACGGCGCCACCGTCCCAATTCAATAGCACCAACTTGCCACCTCGGACAGAGAAGGCTGTCTTTTTGGTCAAGTTTTCACCGGAAGTCCTGGAACGAGATGCTGGAATGGATAGGTAGAAGAACAACAAGAATGATACTACTAACTATAAGAGGGACAATCACTACACATTCACATGTATTGATCCAAGTCAAACACTGGGCTAGTTTGATGATCATAATTGCATCGATTGTTGCAAGATCCATTTGACATACATATCACATATATATAGTATATATTCCATTACCTCCTGAATCCATTTAATATCTCCAAAGCATCGTCCGCAAAACACCGATTACAACTTCGCCGATACCAAACTTCCTCTTGTTCTTCTACTACTTGTTCTACGTCATTTTGGTGTTCCGAACTGTTTTTCTTTTTCTTTTTCTGTTTGCCACGTTTACGAATAGAAAGGTTCCCAAGCCAGTTGGAAGGTGGCGAATCGGGGGGAGGATGGGTGGGTGTATCGACCGAGGGCGAAGGGCTACTGCTGTCCACCGTCCTTGGTGTATTGGGCATCGATTTGACTTTTTGAGGAGTCTTTAGCAACTCAATCACAGATGGTTTGTCATCGTCCATTTCTCCAGATGGTTGGCTGTGTTTTGTGACAAGTGCAAATTTGATTGGGTTAGATATGGTCTCCACTACAAAATACAAGATACAAAATGCATATCTGATATATCAAAAGGCGATTTCAGATTGATGAAATTCTTACCCAGCGATCGTTTGCATTAGATCCATCCCAACAAGGACAGAGTCTCCTCCCTCTGTGTTTGTCGAGTATCCTGATAGAGAATTGGTCGAAGAGAATCGCTTGGGAGGTGAACCACCTGCCTTCTGCAAGATGAATTCGTCCGATTTATCATTGTTGCCCAGTGCTCGCATGATTCCAGCCATGCTGCTATCCGTAGACTCTGCCGAGTTTTGCGAGTACGATAGGGAGACATTGCCATCGTTGGTTGGTGATCTTTTGTAGACAACCGAGTCATCAAATACAAAGGAGGCGCCTTGTGCTGACATTCTGTTCGATTAGTTGGTGTGTGTTCGTTTCAAAATTCGTTGTTGTACCGGTACAGTATGTGGGTGGATGAATTCTGGATTCAAGTAACTTCGGTGTTCAGTTTTCTACCGTGAAGTTTTACCGTTACTGCGGTGATTGATGTAATCGAAGATCTCTGAAAAATCAAATGATGATGGAATGATGGACAATAGGGTACCGTTGGCGTCTCTTCTTAAAATGTAAATAGAAAAGCAGATGTGATTCCAAACGAACTCGTAATAGAATGAATCAATCTCTGATCATGTGAGAGCAACAAGCGATGAATAAAATAAGTTTGATGAGTGGTGTTCACGAGATGGATTTTGCCAACTTCATTCAATTCCCTGCAACAAGTGTAAAGTCGTCACTTGCAGAAACACCTCAACTTGTATTTTAATAATATTTGGTTGATCCAAAATTTGTGCACGAGGACCTCTCGGTTTTTGAGTTGGAGGGTCAGTCATTGCCAGCGTCCGTTCAGTACACGTGTGTACCGAGCATCCGGTATTGAACTAACGATAGAAGCCAGCCTCGCCGGGAATAACGAACCAATCGGCCTACCCAGAAAATTTCTGTTGTCATATTCTTGTCAATTTTTTGGCCAATCCGAACACGTCCATCATCCATTGCCTTCCAATAGAAACCTGCGAAATAGGCGCGGAAGTGTTCTATCAAACCCAGACTATTGCATGACATTATCATCTTATTATAGTTCTATCTGTAGCACCTCCAGTTCTTCTCGAAAATCCAATACCCGAGAGGTGCAAACCTTGCATGTTCGACAGTCGCAACCGCATGGATTTGTCATACTGCACCGTCCACCAAACTCCGCCTTTGTAATCGTCCATTGCCGTCGTCTGTGCAATATTGTTCAAACTCTCCAAGTCCATTACTTGAATGGCAAATTTATCGCTCTTGGTCTTGGCCACAAAGTACAAGGAGACCTGAACTGGATCAGCACCCCCTTCTACCTCTCCATCAGTATCGGCTACCTCGACGTGAATCAAAATGCTATTCAAATCTGGCTGTTCTCCACCAATACCATCCACTCCAACTCGACCAAGAGATCTTTTCCCAGGCATGCACTCGGGCAAATAGGCTTTGGTATCATGTGCATCGTGGTCGATAACAAACTCGCGAGAAGGTTCGATCCAACCAGGGTATCCATGTTGGAGGACCGTCGCATTGCGAATGTAGCTTGGCAATTTCAAGACATCTGACGATGCCTCGTCAGTAGCATTCATGCCGTTCTGATTGTGGTTGCACCCCAGCAACAAATATCCATCCCTGCCATACTTGTAGATTCCATCTCCACCACTCGTACGATCGACTCTTACAATGGATGCAGGATAGGATGGCTCTGGAAAGGGAGCATATTTGGAAAAGGACTCGGATTCTTGTCGTAGTCGTTGACTTTCAATATCACTATTGGTGGTGGATAGATAGGTTGCTGCAAGAACGACTCGTGAGACTCCTCCTCGATCCGTCGTCTTTGGAATTGGAATGTACTGAAACTTGTCGAATAGCGACAAGAGACCCATACTGCTGTTGTTGTTAGCTTGTCCTCGTAGCGGGAAGAAACCCTTGCTGTTCCTGATAAAGGTCGCATTGAGCAAGGTTGCATCTTTTCCATTCACTTGGACTTTGCTCACTTGTGCTACTGGACGATTGCTAGAAGAAAGAATCGACGTTGGGATTCCGAAATATCCATGAAGGGTTGGTGGATTCGTCAATACAGCGTTGTAACTCCATGACCCATCCACCTTGACTTCCCGAAGCGTTGCGTTGACGGCAATTGGACCTGTGGGTGTATCGATCGTAGCCGCAACCGAAGGGTAACTCTGCGACAAATAGGGAGCGGCAAGAAAACGTTGGTAGCCTGGCTGCAGAGGCCGAATCCCGCCCAAAACATGCGAAAGCCATGCTGTGACACCCGACGACCATGGATGACAATACGACGGCATGGTAGGTGCAACATCCCCATCCTTCATGAACGTCTTCCAATCAGGCGACGATTGTTCCCAAAAGCATCCTTTGTCCAGTGCCATCGGAGCGGACCAACAGAGCCGAATGGATGCCAGCGCATGTTCCATGTAGCCAGCATTTCCAAGTGCTTGCAGAATCCAGTATTGATTGAATTGGGAAAAGGAACAAATTGTCACGGCATCATTGAGTACAGTATTCATCCATGATTCAATATCGCTGGAGGATGCAAAGCCACTGTTGATGGCATTGGCGGCTGCATGAACTCCCAATTTGGATGGCCATTCTGGTACCTGCACTAGCTTTGGCCCAAGACGATGATAGAGTCCAAGGTACTTTTGTGTCAGGAACGGCTGGTTCCTTGACAAAAGCAAAGACTGATAAAAGTGCTGGCACACCATTGCCACCAGTCCTGCAAACGCGAGGTGGGCTTCCCGAGGGCACTTATCGTTGCGTGCATGAAAACACCAACCGTTTCCAATTCGATCATCCCATCCCATCCACCCCATATCCAAGTCGGGTTGCAAATAGTCTTGTATCCGCGCATCCAAGATCTTGGCAATATCGGGTATGAGACGATCAAAAGTGTCTTGGTCGCCACTTGCCATGTAGTAGTGAATGGCACTCAAGGACCAATAGAGTGGATAGGCCATGATTTGTTGATCCACCACTGGATGATTCCCCGAATCCGTTTGGTTCAAAACATTTGCCACCAACTGGTAGGGTGAAAAGGCGACGAGTGCTGCATCAATCGTCGGATGCCCATCTCCCTGAATGGCCACTCGATCGCCACGCTCAATCAAGATGGAGTTGAAGTAATCTTGGTCCATATTCAATCGAACCCCGTAGGCTCCAGTGTACCAAGCCTTTGTTAGCTCGGTATTGGATGAGGCGAAGAAACCGGTGTAATTGACGGGCTTGACTTTGGCCACCAGTGATATACTGGATACTACTTCTATCAGTTCGTTTGGCTCCTGATTCTGTGTGTGTTTCATTCGTCGCGGTTGTTGTTGTTGTTGTTGTTGTTGTTGTTGTTGTTGTTGTTGCTGCTGTTGTTGTTGCTGTTGCTGTTGCTGTTGCTGTAGTACGTCAACATCTTGCTCCTTACCATTCTTGGTAGATGGAAAAGTGATGTAGAGCCAAGTATAGCGCACTCCTTCATAGAAATTTGCGTTGGTCTCCAATCGATAGGTATAATTTCCATACTGTTCGAGTGGCATAGTTTTCCCTGGATAAGGGCGATTGAATTCTGAAACTGCCGCTTGCATCTGAAATGAATGGTCACCATAACCTTCATCTGATGATGACCTCTTCTGGGAATGACTAATCAACTCCAACCAGGCAGCTCGCTCGACTCCCCAATCAATACGAACTGTACAGTTTTGCTTGGCCCAGATGGATATTGTTCCCTTTGACGACAATCCTTGTTTTCCAAGATCGACGCGACATTTATCGTCAACCGCTTCCACTTGGACTTGAGCTGGCTCAAATATTCGGTAAAGCTGCAGGTCGTCGACGTTGGGTCCCCATGTCATGGCCACCAACGGGTCCGGGCTGTGATCCACCATGGGATTGCAATCTGTGCAAAAGTCGTGCAAAAAGTCAAAGGGTTCCGGGGCTTCATAGGAACTATTTGCACAATCCAATTGTGAATTGAGATCTTTATGCCGAAGACTAGATGAGGTATCGTCGCAATGCTGGAAAGGATTCCCTCGGCAGGTCCGGTTATGATGGGAATATCTTAGCGAGAAAAGGATTATTGGCAGGAAGAGAGCCAGCAGTTGTTGCCTCGTGACACTCATTATTTTATGGATTCGGTGCTTTGGATATATGAGGTAAGAGTTCAGTTACATGTTGGATGCACCAGAAGGCAATGGAAACCAGTGTACATAATATAATGATCTTCCGATATTTCTACAAGAATTTGGTTTCGGGGAAGTCTGGAGTGGTCGAACCAGTCAAACACCGGCTCATAACCAGTTTATTTGTTGTGCTAATATTGAAATCACACTTCATTATTGTTGTCATCGTCATCGTCATCGTCATCGTCATCAACATCAACATCAACATATAACGGTACTTTACCATACTGTAGTTTCATCATGAGCCTGGAAGAAAAGGTTGCCAAGCTTCAAGCTGCCACTGATGAAGCAAAAGCTCAAATTCCTGTCGCCAAACAAGCGCTGGATATGGCGCAGAAACAATTGGCGGACGCCAAGGCAAAATACCAGAGTCTCTCACCCGAAAAGCAAGCAACCTTGCAAGTCAATGATACAGAACTACCAGAACTGATTGAAACGGAATTACGGGCTCAAAATGTCTATGATACAGTCCTTTCAAAACATGCAACGAATGAGCGGTACCTCGCAGCCTTCAAACAGAAGCTGGGTCAATAGACTGAAAGAAATGGAAGATGATTGCTATGGACGGACATGGTGGAAAATTCATATCAAGAGCCTGAAGACGCAAGAGGTGTTCCATGAAAGCAGCATAGAGCTTCTATCGCTGAGCCAAAAGAGAGAATCCTTCGAACATCAAGGCGGTGGCTTCAATTCGCACTTTGCCCAGTTTTTTACCCTTTGCGGACACCAAGTTGGTGGGAATGAATGATGAACAAAGGAATGCCATGGAGCGCATCAATTCTTGTGCTCGGAAACCATATACCAATCAACATTTTAGATAGGAATGATATCGTTCTATGGCACCTCCATAAGAAATTCCTAGACCAGTACAGGCAAAACGAAGGAGAGCTCCTGTCTCGTTTGTCCTTCAACATTTCAAATCTACCAAACGGTCCCTACTCCTTGTAGTACCGTATTGGTTGATGAAAGCGTCCCCCCCCCACTGTTTTGTGTTATTTTAGTCCTACTGAAACACGACACCCGACTCTAACCATTTCGCTGGACTGACCGTGGTGTTGTCTCCTCCTCCTAACAAGACGACCGGCGGCAGCTGCTTCTTCTTTTGATACATGATGAGGACTCCTATTGGTTCCTTTTCATTTTCCTCTGGCGCAATTACATCTATCTTGTCTACCACGCGGCTGGGTAAGAGGGGTTGAAAGGTAGCCCAAATCTCAAATCTTGTGCATCCAGTGATGAGGGGATCGCTCTTATTTTCTCTGCCCCCTAAAATTATTATCCCCCGCCGGCGAGCCAGAATTTGAATTTTCCCGCCTATTCGACCCGTTCGACCTCCTAACAGAATTCGACCTCCCATCATCATCATTATTACAATCACATCCATTCTCTCCTTGTGATAAAGCATACATACTGTAACTTCTTGGAAACAACAAAGGCCACAATTCCTTTCCACAAGAAATAAAAATTTGTTGGAATAGATCATACATAAAGATACTAGGGGGAAGTGCTTAGGGAAAGCACAGGGATAAGATTCATTCTTACCCTGAATCGAACAAACCATGTCGCAATCCAACATGATGAAGCTTTACCTTCTACTTTCTCTTGCGCCACTCATTGTTCATGGATTTGCGCCGCCACAATCGCAATCCATCATCAGAACTAGGGCATCAATTCCAAGGAAGAATCAAATACAAGTACTGCGACGACCTCGACAAGGAAACTCTATTCCATCATCTTCAATACTTCAGGCTGCGGCTGACGATCCATCATCCGTACCACCTCCACCAAAGGCTGCGCCTCCCAATACTTCCAGTGGTGGCACTACCGCTGGTCCTACAAATGTTGATGTGCTTCAGCAAGCTGAACAGGCAAGGGAACAAATCCAAGTGCAACTAAAAGAGGCGGAAAATCGACGCATCCAATTGGAAAAGGAAATTCAAAGCAATGCCGCAACCGGAAAACAAAACTTGGAATCCAATCTGAGACAAAGCGAGAAGGAAATTCAAGAGCTCCAACAACTTCAGAAATTAGCAAAAGATAAGTTCAACATTGGAAACATTCAATTTCCTACTCTCGAGACGCTTGCCGAATCCGTAAAACAAGTTCCCACACGAACATGGCTGGGAACCGCAGTAGGAGCTTCCGTTGGAGGGCTGGCTCTGGGTCGAATCAACCTACAAAAGAGGAGAAAACTAAAGGAGGAACAGGAATATGAACAGCGCTTGGCAGAGGCAGAAACTGCTCGAAATCAAAAGATTGCGCAAGCCAATTCCAATCGTGACCGCTTTCTAGCTGCCGGAAGCACTCTTGTAGTTGGGACTGCAGTGACGGCATTGGCTCAATTCTCTCAAAAGGACTCTGTTCCTGCAAACAACAACAAGAGGGTGGAACAATCGACAGTGAACAACAACGACAAAAGACCAGATGCATCATCCGCATTGCCTTCCAATGGTCCTTCTCCCGACTTGCCCTATTTGGAACAACGAATCCAAAAGGCAGAAGATCAAGTGAAGAATAGCCAACAAGCCTTACGGAATGATGCCAATAGACGAAAGGAGCTTCAGCTACAAATGGCGCAAGAGGAGAGCTTCAAAAGGGATCTGACGCAACAATTGGAACAAACCGAACAGTCCATTCGTCAGGCCAATTTGGCCAAGGAACGCTTTGAGATGGAGAGCCAGCTCAATGCCCGCAAGGCGGCAGCTGATATCAGTGCGATTCAGAGTCCGCAGAGTAGTCCCAGCGAAAAGGTGGCCGCCCAAGAGCAAGCCAAGAAGGAAGTGCAAATGGCAGAGGCTCAAAGACTCGCTGCGTTTGCCGAAACTCAACGGATTGGCGAAATGGAACGAAAGCTAGACGAAGAAGTCAAGGCGCGAATGGAACTACTGCAAAAGTTACAATCGACCGAAGCTTCGTTGAAGCAAGCCAATGATAGAGCACAGCTAGCTGCATTGGAAGCGCAAATGGCGAAAGAGACCAAGGAACAAGCGTTGGCAGAGTCAAAGGCCACAACAGAGAAGGCTTTGGCAGAGAAACAAATGCTCGAGCAGCAAGCTGCAGCTGAAAAGCAAAAGGCCCAGCTAGCTGCTTTGGAAACCCAAAAGATAATCGAAAGCAATGAAAGGGCAATGGCAGAAGTCTTGGCCGCCGAACAAATGGCGGCTGAAGCAAAGGCGGAGGTTGAAGAGAAGGCTAGGATTGCGATGCACCAATTGCAGCAAGCGAAATCAAAACAACCAGGTGCCAACACCTTCATGTCTTCCATTAAAGATTCTTCTTTGAATTCCATACCTGAATTTGTAGACACCAAGGGTCTATCCAACATGTTGCAACAGGGTGCTGACGCTTTCCAAGCAAAGCGAGATGAGACGAGCCTTGTCACCAGAGCTGCTGTCGATGAGCTATTGGCAATTACAAAGGCCAACACAAATGTCAACTTCAATGCCTTTCGATCAAGCCCGATTGGAAAGTCTCTTGCAACTTCATTTGGAGACGAAAACGTGCCAACTGTTGTAGCAGCCATCCTTGGCTCTGGAGTGGCAGCCACTGGTTTGATCGCCTCTGGCATTCAGAATTCAAAGAAGAACGGACCGAATGCTGCAGCGCAAACCGAAGAATCGAATGCTTTGCAACCATACAACCCAACATCTCCGCCAGCGACATCTGGACAGAATTCCTTTTTCACTTCAAAGGAACCAAGAACTGATGTGACAGGGCGGACGTCTTTCTTGAACAAGAAAGATGCGGCCCCAAACCAACCTTCTTTTTTTACTTCGAAGGAGCCAAGAACCGACATGACCAAATCAAAGCAAACCAATTTCTTCACCAACAAGGATTCATACAAGAAAACGCCACCGGGGTTTCTCTCGGCTCTTGGCGGAATGTCGTCAAAAGGGAAAGGACCGCAAATGGCATCAGCCGGCAAAGACAATTTGAAAGACGGAAAATCCTCGAAAAGTTTCACTGCTGCGTCGCCTAGAGGAACCCCGAATTTTGGTTCAGCCACTGCTGGTGTTGTACCCATCTCCACGACGACAAGCGCACCCAGCGCTCCCAATTTCGGGGCACGAAACGGGCTTTCAGCCCCGAGCTTTGGATCACCAAAGGGCGTTAGTTCCATGCCACCAGGAGGATTCAAAGGATCCAGTAGCGGGTTCGCGAATGGACAGAAAGCCTCTAGTTTTGCATCCAACAGCCCAAGTTTTACAGCACCTAAGACTTCTACAAGTTTTGGAGGATCGAATGGTTCCACCGCTCCGAATGGACCTGCTTCTCCGGAGCCTGGGCTTTCGAGCAAGCGAGGTATGGCGAAAGGACCAAGCTCAAATTTCGGAGCGCCCAAAGGATCAACAGCGTCGGCTGCTTCACCAGCAACAATGGAGTCAAAGGGCCAGGACAATGTTGCTGGATTTGGGGATAGGAATGGAGTTTCAGTGGGAACATTGAATAGTTCGCCAAAGGGCTTGCGAGCTGCATCTTCGCCTTCGAGCGATTCGGTCGGGGCGTCAAAGGGATTCAGTCCGTATGGAAGCAAGGGAGCATCACAAGCTAATGCCAGCTCGACAAAAGGATCGACCCAATCATCCTTCAACCCTTCAAATTCACCATTTGGAAACAGCAACACCGCCTCATCCGCTGGTGTTGGTTCTTCAAGCACCAAAGTCCTATCATCATCAAAAGGTTTCAGCCCAAGTAGCTCTTCCTCTGGCACAACGCAATCCAATCAATCATTCAACCCTTCGAATTCACCATTTGGTAAAAGCAACGTCGCGTCATCTGTTGGTGATGGTTCGTCGCGCATCACGGACCCGTCTTCCGCGAAGGGATCCAGCACACCAGGTACCCCTTCCTTTGGTGCAGCACAGGCCAATCAATCACACAGCCCTTCAAATTCGCCATTCGGTAACCACAGCAAAGTTGCATCTTCTGCTGGTGTTACTTCGAGCACCACGGCCCCACCGTTAGCGAATGGTTTCAGCACAAGAAAAACTTCCTCTGGGACAGCTCAATCTAACAACCCTTCGAATTCTCCATTTAGAAACAGCAACGGGGTATCAAAACCAAGTGAAAGCTCGACCATGGAATCAAACAAATCATCATTCAATCCTTCAAATTCTCCATTTGGTAACAGCAACGTGGCATCATCTGGCGGTATCGGTTCTTCGAGCACCACGGTCGCGCCCTTTGCGAATGATTTCAGCACAAACAACCCTTCCTCTGGGACAGCTCAATCTATTCAATCAAACAACGCTTCGAATTCGCCATTTAGAAGCAGCAAAGGGGTCTCAAAACCGAGTGAAAGGTCGAACATGGAATCAAACAAATCATCATTTAACCCTTCAAATTCGCCATTCGGTAACAGCAACGCCGCATCATCGTCTTCGAGCACAGCAACGCCGCTCTCCCCTATGGGTGGTTACAGCCCAAGCAACCCTTCCTCTGGTGCAGCGGAGTCCAACTCATTCAATCATTCAGCTCCGCCATTTGGAAATAGCAACGGTGCCACAGCCACAACATCCAACGGTGGTTCGTCGAAGCGAGCAGAACGTGCCCCGAAAGGGTATGGTGTAGCATCAGCCTCCAAGGGGTACGATCCAAACAAACCCTCAGCCGGAACACCACAGTCAAGTCAATCGTCATTGAACCCTTCAAATTCGCCATTTGGGAACAATATTGGTGCGCCAACAACCGGTGGTGCTATCTCTGGCAAAGGTGGCCCCGGACTTTCAGCAGGATACAATCCAAGCAATCCATCCTTTGATTCAGCACAATCTACTAGAGTACCCCAAGGATCTTCAATTCCGCCTACAGGGGTGCCAAACCAGGGTATGAATCAAAGGGCAACTAATGCGGTTGCTGGTAGATGGGAGCCAAGTCCATCTAGCGGCCCAAATCTGGCTTCTATCGCCCAGGCATCTTCGCCAAATCCCGACTCTAGATTGAGTGATACCTCTGGCGATGAGCAGGAATGGCGCGAGTCCAAGCCAAATCAGGGCGATTGGTGGAACGTTGAAAAACGCGACTACTTCACGACCTTGGGCCGTCGCGAGACGAAGTCTTTCCAAGGGAGAAATCTTTACCCGAATACTTCGAATACAGGGGCATCATCATACTCCCCATTCGGAAACTCCAACCAGCAGAGTCGGACACAGTCGTCTATACAACCTTACTCACCTCCCCCTAACCAAGGTACAAGCATGGACACCAATCAAGAGGAGCAATTATGGAGACAAACTGCGTCACCTGGTAGCCAATGGTTTGAAACAGAGCGAATAGACCACTACACGGATCGAGGAGTCCGAGTCACGAGATCCTTCACTCCAAACGGAGTGACTACTTCGCCGTTATCCAGCTATTCGCCATTTGGTCAACAGAACTCTCAGACAACGGCACCGATTGCGCCAGCCTCTGGCACTAGCAGCGGTATTACTCCCCAAGACAGGAATTCAAACAACAGCTACAATTCATATCAGGAGAGGAGAAGAAACCCGACTTTGGACGCAAGTCAATCGGAACAACAATGGCGCGAGTCGTCAGCAACTCCAGGGGGACAATGGGTAAGTCATTCTTCTGCATTGTTTGTTGCGTTGTAACAACAGCGGTGCTGTTTGATGCACATGTTCTGATTTGTTTCCTTAATTTCCACGAAACAGTTTGAACAGGAAAAATTAGATTTTTACACGAGTCGGGGAACCAGAGCGACTCGGTCATTCAACGGTGGTGGGACCAGGGAAGATGTGAATCCAAACAATAACGCCAATGGGAATTCATGGCAGTAGTAATATTTTAATATGTAGTGTATACAAGAAAATCAGTATATAGTGTACGCAAGTAAATCAGTGAAGTTTATTTTCCATTTCTTCGGTAGGTACTGTGATATGGGCAGTAGAATGGCGGTCACGATCAAAGTCTACGAACGTTGTATGGTGCATGGTACCTGGCAGTGTTCGTCGACTGGTTCGACTGAAAGAGGGTAAATCAAGAACGCAAACACATCTAAGTGTCATTCTTCTTCACTCAACTTGCTGAAGCGAACGAACACAGCAGCGCTAGTACAAAAAGCATGTTTACATAGTCCCAAGGCTGAATGAATGAGTGAGCATGTCAAGGAAGCCTTGGGAAAAGCAGCATCCCAAAGGGAAGGATGGAGTGCCCACTCGCTTGTTCACTGATGAAAATCCTGCCACCACAATCAAAGGAACTGGCTTTCGAGACAAACGAATTGCAGAGAGAACTATCCGACTCACCTCACAACCAGGAGTACGATACAAACAGTACTGGACCATCAAGGCAATGAGAGAAAGAGCATTCTACCATCCTCACCAAACCAATGGAATGCGAGATGCTATCCGAGTATTTGACGACTGGTTAAAGGAAGAAGTGAACAAACCTGCGCTTTCGAAAGAAGAGATAAACCTTCGAAGAGATGAATGGAAGCGCTACCAAACACTTTGTCAATCTGCTGCAAATGGGCATTCTTACGGAAATGAACCAACCCAAAGTCAGTTGCAACGAGCTAGGGATGATTTAAAAAATGGTCAGGATTGCCTAGTAAGAGGCTTGGAATTGTCTCAGAAGTCGACTTCAAACCCGTTTCCATTCCCATTGCTAGCGTTCTCAGCCTTGTTTGGAGCACCAGGGGCTCATGGCTATGGTCGACATACTATTGTAGGAGACCAATCATTGGTTGACGTAGACGGAAAGGACGGATTGCAAGAATTGGTGTCCAGCAAAAGAGTTCTCTCCCGTTACGGTGACGAGCTAAAAAGGATATCGTTGACATACAATCGAGAGAACGGTACAACCGAAATGAAACTTGAATACGGCAAGAAAAGAAAGACTCTTTCTAGTCTCTGGAATCGTGTGCCAAAAGGTCCACAACAGAGTCCCCCGGATGTTTCACCGTCAAAAGACACACATACTACTCTTATTTCCAGTAAGCGAGCGTGGAGCTGTAGTATCTGTACTTTTGAGCATGTAGGCGTGGATAAAAAACTCTATCTTGCGTGCGAGATGTGTGGAGCGCCTCGTCAGGAGTCGTCTTCCGCGAGGGAAGTGACACCTAACACGAAGGAGATACCACCCAAACCCGCCCACGCTACCAAAAGTAACAATTCTCCTCATGCAAAAGAAACTTTGACAGATGCACGGAAAGCCGCTTGGGGAACTCTTCGACCTCCTACTAGTCGTGATGTTCAAGGACCTCGGAAAAGGCAAAAGGGACTGGATACCCCGACTCCGCTCTTGGATTACATTGTTGTGATGGACTTTGAGTGGACTGCTGACAACAAGTCCAAGATGGAACCCATCGCGGAAATTACACAGTTCCCAGCAGTTGTCGTGAAGTTGGAAGATCGAAAATGGGGGTATAGTACTGCAAAATCAGAGTCCATTTTACCGAAAAGTCCCATCCCGCTTCCAGCGGACCTCTGCGTGCCTTGCTTTTCAAATCGAGTAGTCAATGCGGATGCCTACGCTATTTCTGCCTTTGATACATTTGTCAAGCCAACATTGAATCCAACTCTGACGAAGTTCTCCATTGAGTTGACAGCGATACAACAGCATGATGTGGACAGTGCTCCATCGATCGACACTGTGGTAAACGAATTTGTAACATGGCTCCAGTCACTTGGGCTTGTTGACTCTGGGGGTAAGAGAGTAGGAAACTGGTGCTTTGCCACTTGGGGAGATGGCGATATCGGTGGCACGCTCCGACAAGAATTGGATTACAAATCTGTCAGTTTGCCGCCATGCTTTGATCGGTGGATCGACTTGAAGAATGATTCCATATTCTTGAAGCATTACGGTCGTGAACCAAGGGGAGGGCTTCGAAAGTGCGTGGAGTCGATAGGAGCACTATGGAGTGGAAGAGCACACAACGGATTGGTTGACAGCTTCAACACTGCAAAGATTGTCCGTCACATGGTTCAGACTGGATTTCGATTCACAAGGCCAACCAGAGGTTTAGATCGAAATGGAGTCCCCTTTGGTCAACGTAGAAAACAAAATGAAAACCGGGAACGATCATAAAGAAGAAAGATATTTTCAAACAATGTAAGCTAGCACACCCTTTTATAGAAGTTATGTACACCAATGTAAGCTAGCACACCCTTTTATAGAAGTTATGTACACCAGTGTTGTCGAAGGAGTTCCAAAAGTGTACCAAGTGAATTTTCAATAGGCTTATTGTATTCCACATCAATTCATCTGCGTCGGAACGGATGATATGGCCATCAGATCATCTGCTGCGGTAAAGAATAATGCTGCTTGGAGTATGAATAGTGACAGTACAGCAATGAGCGCTAGTGTCGGAACATTCCTGCTTTGAACTTCCTCGCGTTTGGTCGTTCCAATATCAAAGTCTTTCCCCAAAAACTGTTTTGCGATCATCCGGGCTTCTTCCTCTTTGCTATCAGCGGAACTGGGGGGTACGATCCTGACAACACCAGGAATAATATTCCTTAAGTCTTCTTCTTTCTTAACAGCGACTTCAAATTCATCTAGGGCCAACTGGATAACCGCCCCATCTACGCTTTGATCTCCCGCAAGCTCCTTTGATTTCACCAGGCGAAGATTTTCGAGCGCTCGTTTTCGTTCCTGCACTGCACCTTCAACTTGATTTGTTCGAAAGGATAAGGCTGCAAAAACTCCGAGTATAACCACAAAGGTTGAAAAGGCTTGAACATCGAGGACTGGTTCAAAGACAACACTTGAAGACGATTCCATGGACATCGGTGCTGATGGTAGTGTGTCTGAAAATAATTGAGTGCCACTCTCGGCGAGAAATGAAATGGGAGCTTCATGAAGGGCATCGGGTCTTCTGACTAAATTTGGTGTGATAAATGCTGGAGAATACGTTGATATCGTCATTGCTTGTATTTGGAGGAGTGAATGAGTCGTCTAGGATTTGCGTTGGTGATGTGTTCCGATGAAGAATGAATGGAATAATAATGAGTGAAAGATTTCAAATGAATGTCCGGCAAGCGAAAACGAACACTAATCGGACACACCACCGAAACTCATGAGGGATCCTTGCGGTGTGGTGTCAAATATAAGTGTTGATATGTACCTTGTACAATTGTTGAAAACTAGAATTACAGTAGTAATAACATTGTCTCGTTGAGAAATTAGTTTGTGCAAGTGTACAGCAATTTCAACAGTACGCGCTGCCATGACTAAGTTGCATGCCCACCAAGGAGCGAAAACAACCTCTGAATAATGTTTTCAAGAAGGAAAACTAAAGCCCTTCTCTTGGCGATGCTGTGGCGAATCCACGATGCTTTGTCTGATTTTGTCAAGCTCAAAATCCACGCTGTAGTGGCTTCCCTCCGGTGCCACTTCTCTCAAGGATGCGAAAATTTCGTTCATCGCAACAGTTCGATAACCTTGTGGGGTTTGAAATCCCATCAGACAACCGACATTTTGTTTTAAAACACCAAGTTGTGCTTGATTTTTTGAGAATTGTGCTTGCATTTGAGAGAACTTTGTTTGCAATCGACCCATTTCACTTCTGATTTGTGAGGTTTCCTCGGTTGGAAGCGTCTCCTCGTTCTCCCTTTCATGCACTTTTGGAAGAGAAACAGCCTTTTGGCTGCTTTGAGGATCGTCATCCTCTCTTGAATCTGGCCGACATGATTCTTTCGTGCTTGTTACAGGATCTCGAATGGCTAGACCACGAGGTTTGACACCATCGTTGGGTTTGATGGATTCCTCACTTCGTATGGTGTTTTCCTTGCTTGTCACCAAGGCAAGGAGGTTGGGTGTGACGCTAGCGCTGCGCTTATTGGAGTCTTTCATATTGTTTTGCGTTGGAGGCAGCCTTGTGGGCTGACTGAGATCAATGGCAGATAAACTGAAAGTGGGCATGAGCACGAATTTATGACAAACGATGCAACCAAAGGTTTCCATGCTACAATTCAATTTGGGGGGGACTCCCGAGAATCAATATGTTTCTTTGCCGAGGTGATAGATGCGTACCTCCAAATGTCAGCCATTTGCTGATTGCATCATCTGACTACGCGCTCGAATACCACACAATCAGTACTATCGTTTCCTGACCTTCAATGCCTCGTTCAGCCTTGGAATCCAATAGTTCTCCACATTCGGATTCATAAAACAATTATAATCCAATTCAGTGATTGGATCATAAGTGCTCGTTTCACTTTTCGTATTGTTTGGCCATCCAAGCCCGACGTAACAGCCAAGCCACTTCCTCTTGAAGTCGTATCGACAGCGTTTCTTCCATCCAGCCGTATGACCCCGCGTGATCGTCTTGGCATGGATCATGGTTGCTTCATTCAGTTCATCAGTGATGCGTTCAGATGGCGGACGTTCCTCGTAAAACCGAATCCAATTCGATTCTCCACGAGGAGTATCCAACAACCCTTGTGTGATGGTCGAGTAGTGAACAAAGTGATAAGGAACATAGTCAGCCCGATAAAGCTGTTTTCTTGCTCGATCTGCCCATTCTGGACGAGGACTCTCCGATCCATCGCAGTTGTACGCTTCCAAGAACGTCACGTTTCCCAGCTTTTCACGCCCTGCCTTCAGTTGCCTAAAAGATTCTGGATTATCAAACATTCTCACAAGAATAGAATCATTAGCCATTCATGATCTTGTACTTACTCGGAAGCTCCATATCGCAGTTTGCCACGAGAACTTCGAAAGGATAAAATGTTGGTCTCCGTGTCTTGCTCCACAACGCTTCTCAGACTCCTATGGTTCCCCATAGGAACGAGATATTCATCGGTATCAAATGATGCTATCCATTCCGTGAGCGGAGCATAACGCGTCCGACAGGAGTTTTCCGCAGCATACTGACTTGAACGTTCCCCAGTGTTGTCGTGGGCGGGGATCTGTTGATTCCAAAAACAAAACTTGTTAGAGTTGATTGATTCAGAATAAATGGTTGGCTTGCTACATGGGTGTACTTGCATTGTTGTTGCATACCGCATGTGGCCAATCAATCCAAGTTACTTCCTTTGACGAAAACATGCCCGTAATTGGTTTCAAGTTGTTGACCGGATTCGCAGAGTTATCGTAGACATAAATATGATCGAAGCCAACCATAAGGTGAAATTCAATCCATTCCATCAGTCGATCCTTCGTGTCAGATAAAGACTCCTTGTCTTTACCTCGAGTGTGATAGATTGCAGAAGCCCAGAGGCAGGCCGATAACAAGTGTGGCTTTGTTGCTGTTGCTTTCGACAGTGAGGATGGCTGGACTGTTGATTTCACTGGGCAAACTGGCAGATTTTCCCATCGCCCACTTGCCTCCACCGGGGGTAGAACATGATTCTTTCCCCAAGCGACGAGTGGATCAAATGAGCCTTTGTATCTGGAACCAACTAGTTCTTCCGGAAGATAATGTCCTCCATTGGTTTCGGTGGTCTTAGCGAATCTTGGCGGTGCACGGATGGGAATGATATCCACATGAAAAAGAGGACGCGAGTCTACACCCAAGTCTGTTGTCTTTGTCAGCATCTTTGCCTCTTCTGATAGTGGACACGAAAATAACAATGTTGATGTCCAAAACTTGGAATTATCCTTCCCTTTGCTCGAAAGTAAACCAACATCATTCTGCGATTTGCGAAAGGCTGCAAATTCATAATGAAAAGGATATACTGATAGGGTTTCGCCAAGCTCTATTCTCCGTTCGTCGGAAGATGACGTGTGGAACTTGCATATAAACCGAGTGTACCTGCCAGTAGCACTTGCATTGCTGAAATCTGACAACCGATACCGAGGTTCCTCCGCCTTAGTCGACGACTGCCAAACTTCTGGTGCCAAGTTTCGCGCCTCTTTTTCCGTGATGATCTCAACCGAAACATGTTGCAGTAAAGCAACTTGAGGTTCCATATGCTCTAGCACTTCTCCATAGCCTGTTCCAGTCCGACAGCGTCGTCGATTCTGGGCCACAAATCGGACTTGCTCTTCATCCAAATCTAAGAACAAATCGTGGATCCAAGGTAGATACGGATCAGTTTCAACTGGACAGAATGGTAGCTCTATTTCCGTGTAATTTTCAGGAAGAGGATCATCACCAATGTTCCATACATTGTCATTCGTCAGCGGCCTTCCAACTGGGAGCCTGGAAGGGACATCATGGCAGCTTTGAATCGTCGCGTATTCCACCTTTCTCAAGTCCGCCGGACTAAAGAGACGGAGAGGCAGGGGCTCTTTATACTTCGGCGGCTTGCCCTTATCATACTCCTTGTCAGGATCTCCTCTCGTAGCACTTCCTGGTATTGTCACCTTCATTTTGGGTTCCAGGTAGGCGGTGATGGGTTTTGGTACTGGCCGAGACAGAGTTTGAGCTTTTTTCCGATGATTTGGTTGACTGAGAAGCGACTCCAAATTATCCCAAGTGGTAGTATTGATTTCAGGAAGATATCTGAGCTGTACCGCCACTGCAGTGCAATATGTAATCACAAAAACAACAGCAACGTAGGACCAAAACGGGAAACCCGTCCGTTGTCTTCGTTTTCTATTCATATCGCTATCAAATCAAAGGAATGGAAAAGTGGAATCGTGAACATTGCGAAGCTGTAGAATTGATCAAGGATCAAGATGTTAATGATGGATGATGAAGCGAAATGACGAGAGACGGATGGATTGATCGATTTCTCCGATTCTCTACTTCTCAAGAGGATGAAAAATGAATAATCGACTTCTTCGATCAACAAAAATCGTATCAGAGCTGAAGCCATGACAGTCAAAGAACACTGAAAACACCGTTCGTTTTTCCCTGCTTCTTCGATAATTTCATGGTTCTCACCAACCATGCCAACGCAATAACTTGAAAAATAACGCGGTAAAATATTTTACACATCCTGGTACTACAACCACGTAAAAAAAGCAAGACCAACGGTTTCAAAAAACGAAGACAATTCATGAGATTGCATTGGTTCGTCAATCTACTAGTTGTCGTCAAATCACCTCTCAATCTATTTGATCTTGAAGAATAAGATGGCTCCTAGAGTCGCAGCGGAAATCAGTTTTGAGCAAAACACCATTTGCAATCCACAATATGTGTTTGATCATCACAAGCCTGTCAAGCTTGCCGGTTACATGATGGATGCCGAGTGGGAAGAATTCGTTGAGGACATTGAAAACACCTTGGTACCAGCCAAGAAATTCCAGAGATCAATAACGGTGTGTATGAGTGTTGATAAAAATACCTTTTTTGGATTTTCCTATGCTGACTACGAATGCTTTTTTATGAATTTTCAGGCTATTTCAGCAACGTTCCTTGTTCTTTACATTGTTATCCTCATCTCATCCTTGACTATTCTAAAAGAGGTCGAACCCTCAGTTATCCAGTTGAGCGTCATGATTGCCGTCAATGCTCTCTTTATTCTCTCGCTCTTTCGCGCGGAGAAAGGTGTGAGGGATTTGGCCAAGCGAAGGCTGCGAAAGGTGCTCGTTGCAGCTGGCGCAAAACACTCAAAGCTGTCGTTTGCACTCAAGCAACAAGAGCGTGGAAAAGGAATCTTCATGTACCTTGAAATTTGTATTCTGGAGCCCCTTGCAGCCCATGGCGGATGGGACGAGGGGAGTGACGGGGAAGTGGTTTTGAACCTGGAAATGGAAGAGATAGAATCCGCATGACTAGCTGCTCGCATATCGAGTGTCTGGAAAGGCGAGATGGACGACTCTTGCTCCCATGCAGTCGGTGATGAGTGATTCTAATCAATATTGTAGTTCCTGGTCATCATTTTTTCATTCTGTACGAGGCGTTGTAAACCTTTTGGAGCGAAGATCCATGCAAGGAGCAACAGCGTCCAACATACTCACAGCAGTTTTTGAACCATGGAATGCAACGCACAAATGATTCTCGACTGAGGTGTTTCTATTGCCATTGATGTATCTTACAAGCCCATTGGGAACCTTTTGCAGGGCCGAAAGAAAAAAATCATCAGAGCTGAGCTTGGTGGACTTACTTTTGCAGAGTCGAAAGATATATCCACCCGTACAAGCTTTGTGTCCGGTGGTAGCTCTGATTGCAACCTTCTCACCCTTTGTTGACTAACCCCCTTCACAGTCACACCCAAAGAGCTGTAGCCCGCACGTAGAGTCTGCCCCTGATCCCCAAAACCAAACGAACTATCCATGAATTCATCATGACAGTACCGACAAACTACCCAGTATTCACTTGATTTCTTTGAAGCAACATCAACTATAGAAGACCCCTTAGCACGCAAGCTGCATTGGTAAAGAGCGCCGCTAAAACACTAATATGATGAATGCATTGCCATTGTCGATATTGATAGTATTCTATAGTAGTTTTACAAAAAGTAGTTACACCCAGCTCAATGCCGGTGAAACTGTATCCAACATTTCTCAAAACAAGAATTGCCAAGGGGTGGCAATCTGTTTCGATCAATGTTCCCAGGCATTTATTTGCCTTGTTTGGGTCTCTCAAAGAACCAACATTTATTCTCATTGCAAGATGAGGAGTGCTGATGGTCAAAGCGACTTTCCTGCTTCTCATAGCAAAGAACTTGCATGGCTGCTTCTTCATTTAGTAGTAGTTGAATTATTACATGCTAGGTCTTCGCTTTGGTTTTCTTGGAGGAGACAATTTCATGATTCCACCTTCTAGCTCAAAACGCTCAGCAGAATTGCGTCTCTGTGGAGTAGAGGCAATTGCTGGCAGCGATCGACAACGTTGGGCAGCGTCGAGTGAAGCATCGTCTCTGATGATCATGACGTTATCTACCAGGTTTTCCTGTAGTAGGGTATTCATAAAAGATTGAAGCGTCATTGCAGTGGAATGTTTTTTTTGTGAGATTGTGAGTTGGATGATTTTTGCAACTGTTCTGCAGTTCTGCAGTTCTCAGTTCCCGTCACAGCACAGTATAGCTTCAACTCCAATTTATATAGATGATTCTCCTTTCCCACTAAAGAATAAAATAGCAGATAGATTTATGAGAGTTCTGTTTGTGACACATTCCCACGATGTTCTGCATCATGCTGGTGATGCAAAAGGATTGGCATGGAAGCCCAATGAATAGTAATTCAAATGGAAATGACAAACCGAATTGCATGAAATAGCCGACCCAAATTAGATCTAGAGTTCGACTTTGTGACTTTTGATATATAAAAGCAGAAAGAGTGTAAGCAATGGCGAATCGCGGTCTTTCCTCTCCTCTAGATCGGCTCTTCTGTCATGCGCAATCACAATTGTATTTTTTCAAAAAATAGTGGACATCATTTGTACAGTATTTCGTTCGGCGTCCAGTTCGCTTTTCGTTGATGTTCTTTGTGGTTTTAATTCCGAAGTTCGCGGGGCATTTTTCAAGAAATAAAATAAATATCGAACGTACCATTACCTGTGACTGGTACGAAATGCAACAAGGGAGGAAACGAAACCCGCCCGTTGGCTCTCAGAAGTGCAAAAGCAAAAAAGAGAACAAGACCGAACTCGGCTTCTCGAAGATTCTGTTATTGCGAAGCGACGCAACCTACCAGGTACTCGGCCTTACGGTAGATGAGCGGAGTGACTGGGCAACTCGGATTGTTGATCTTGGGGCAGCATCACCACTCCAACTTGAGAATAATCATGTGAAACAATTGTTTGACCAGCACTGCCGACAACATTTTGAAACAACGCTAGCTCGATTCGCAAAAGACCTCCACACGAAGATCCATTTTGTTTGCGAAGAATCTAACTGGACACCAAATCAACTTTGTACCCGCAATGACCTATGTGGGAATTAATCAATATTGTAAAATTCCTGGTAGTCATTATAATTCTTTCATTCTTGACGAGAGGCTGTAAACTTTTTGGAGCGAAGAGATCACAGGAATTCACTTCATTACTCACGGCAGTTTTTGAACCGTGACATGCAACACACACATGATTCTAGGCTAAGATGTTTCTATTGCCATTGATGCATCTTACAAGCCAGCCAATTGAAAACCTTTAGCCGGGCCGAAAGAAGAAAGTCCATCAGAGCTGAGCTTTGTGTCCGGCGGTGGTAGCTCTCGCTGCAACCTTCTCACCCTTTGTTGACTAACCCCCTTCACAGTCGTCGCACCCAAAGAGCTGTAGCCCGCACGTAGAGTCTGCCCCTGATCCCCAAAATCAAACGAACTATCCATGAACTCATCATGACAGTACCGACAAACTACCCAATCCAGAGAAGAGCCTTTAGCACGCAAGCTGTGTGGGTAAAGAGCGCTGCAAAATAACAGTATATGATGAAGGCATTGTCATTGTTGATATTGATAGTATTCTATAGTAGTTTTACAAAAAGTGGTTACACCCAGCTCAATGCCGGTGAAACCGTATCCAACATTTCTCAAAACAAGAATTGCCAAGGGGTGGCAATCTGTTTCGACCAATGTTCCCAGGCATTTATTTGCCTTGTGTGGGTCTCTCAAAGAACCAACATTTATTCTCATTGCAAGATGAGGAGTGCTGATGGTCAAAGCGACTTTCCTGCTTCTCATAGCAAAGAACTTGCATGGCTGCTTCTTCATTTAGTAGTAGTTGAATTATTACATGCTAGGTCTTCGCTTTGGTTTTCTTGGAGGAGACAATTTCATGATTCCACCTTCTAGCTCAAAACGCTCAGCAGAATTGCGTCTCTGTGGAGTAGAGGCAATTGCTGGCAGCGATCGACAACGTTGGGCAGCGTCGAGTGAAGCATCGTCTCTGATGATCATGACGTTATCTACCAGGTTTTCCTGTAGTAGGGTATTCATAAAAGATTGAAGCGTCATTGCAGTGGAATGTTTTTTTTGTGAGATTGTGAGTTGGATGATTTTTGCAACGTTCTGCAGTTCTCAGTTCCCGTCACAGCACAGCACAGCTTCAACCCCAATTTATCATAGATGATTGATTCATTCTCCTTCTTCATAATATATAGCAGATAGATTTATGAGAGTTCTGTTTGTGACATGTTCCTGGGATGTTCTGCACAATAACATTTATCCTTGTGGAAGCCGAATGAATAGCAACGAATTGCATGAAATAGCCGACCCAAATTAGAATTTGTGACTTCTGACAAGAGCAAAAAGATGGCGAGCAATGGCGAATCGCGGTCTTTCCTCTCCCAGATCGGCTTTTTAATCATGTGAAGTGTGATGTCGGAGAACGAATGAAACCGGTTGGCGCCTCCAAAGTGCACAAGCACAAAGAGAAGACTGAACTCTACGTACAGTAAGCATTCTCGAAAATTGCCTGGTACCAGGTACTCGGTGATAGTAGTGGAGTGGAGCGTTGATCGTTGGGTAGCCAGCAGACCCCAGCAGCAGGCCACCACTCCAAGCCTCCTTGTGGAAATATAAAATAGATCATCAACAATACTCTAGTAAACTATTGACCACTAAAGCATGTTGTAGCACCTATATCAACATTGTGGCCGTATCGCTGCGACATGTACAGTAGTTCTCTGGAGAAGCCTGTTCTATTTGTGATTGAGACAAAATCCAAAGCACTTGCATACATCGTACCAGGTATCATATCGTCCTTTCATTGGGCCGAAATGCACGGTGACTATTGTTCCAAGGTCTCAAGGAACATGTCGAACGTTTCTGATACTTTTATTCATCACATCACTTTTGCTCTGATTGTTTTCTAATATGCAGCCAATCAGAAGTGTCAAGACGGAATACCAAGACCGATCAACGGGCGGCTGAACTTCAAACAAGTCGCATTCTATTTTTTGAATATGGCAACACTGACGGCTGATACTCACATACGATACGGTATTGGTACCAGGTACCTTTTAGGGAGAAAACAAAAAGTTACTGCTACAGTATGAAATATGGTTTCCATTCGATTTTCTACTAGGTTTTTGTTGTTCTACGCTATATTTTTTAATACAAACCTAATCTAAAAAGTTGCAAACTGACTGACGATTTGTTTCGAAGTTCCTCCGATCCCACGATTGTTGTTTCTTCCGGTTTTTCGGTTGAGCAGGACATTCTAATCGTACGAGACGATGCATTGCAAGACTCGTCACAAAGATCGCGGTCGCTGCCAGAGCTTGTTTGCAACCACCACCAAACAGTGTCCCTAGACCGGTTCGAATCTGAACATTATGAAAAGACAAGTGGTGGTCCAAAGATTCCAGAACGAAGGCCCAGCCTGGTGAAGCTGAACCTCTAAAATTAGGCATGCAGGGAACATCGAGCTGCGCGGTGAGGCCGTTCTTCTTTGTGACAAGTTTTGAATAATGCAATCCTTAGGATTGGTCAAATAGAAAGATACAGTAGCATACAATGCACTATAACATCCGACATTTTTCCCTTTTAATATCAAATCTTCTACTTGTAGCAACATGTTAATAATGTGTTGATAGATATGCGCCAAATCTGGAATGTAATACAGGATAATACCGGTACGAGTACCGGTAAACTAGCGGGAAGATAAAACTCGGAAAGCTTACAGCTGATAGGATGCTCACGTTCCTTTTCCGGAGAAAACAAAAAGTTACGATGGTTTCCATTTCGCACTACTGGAACACCCGCAACTCTGAACGGCTCGCGCACCTGCCAGTCACAGCCGGCCAGCACCAAGTTCTCAACAAAAAGGGGGAGCACGATTTTAAGGGGTAATACTTCTTCCTCGTAAAATAGAAGTGTTAGAATGGTCGAAAGCGCGTTAAATTGAAAAGCCCGTAAAACCTTAAAGTGACGTCCCGAATCCTTAAAATGACTTCCCATTTGTTAAATGTTACTTCCAATTGTTATTTCCATATTTAAAGTGACTTCCAATTGTTATTTCCAGACTTAAAGTGACTTCCAATTGTTATTTCCAGACTTAATGTCACTTCGCTATTTCACGACTCAATTCCCAGTTTCAAATCGAATTATCTTGCAATCTTTCACCTTCGGCATTCTTGTCATCTTTGGGCACAATATCCCAACTTCAAGAATGGCAGAGGTGTTGGAGGACCCCCAGCCAAGAAACAATGATGACAATGCTGGTGTAGACGAATTGGACGAGGCACCAGTCAATCATGTGGTCACACCAGAGAGGATCCAGTATCTTGGATTGAAACTGGTGGGCTACAAACGCAAACGTTTACAGAAGTCAACGGCACGGGTGAACTTTGAGCGTTTCAAGGGATTTTTTGGTTTATCTCCTGTAACTGCTGCCGAGATTTACCACGACATGCAAACAACGGATATTGAAGAAGCCAAAGTAGAGGGCAGTCGAATTGATTTGAGGAATCTCTTGATTGCACTTCATTACTTGTTGAAGTATCCAACAGAAAGGTACGTACGTGGTGGCAATAGCTTTTTGCAGCGCCCCGTGTTACTGATTGAACTTATTGTCTCGTCACTAGGGACATGGAAGCTCGATTTGGCTTCAGCATGTACTGGTCAAGAAATTTGGCTTGGGAGTCGATCGAGAGACTTCGAGCCTTGAAACACGAGAAGATCAAGTGGGAGGAGGACTTGTGCACAGATGATATCTGGGTCCTGACGGTAGACGGCATTCACTGCTGGATACAGGAGCCAAAACATCCTGTCTGGAGTCAAAACAGGCGCTACTACAGCCACAAATATCACAAAGCTGGGTTGATGTATGAGCTTGGGATATGCCTGAGCACAGGTCGTTTGTTGTGGATGCGAGGACCCTACCCTGCAGGGACGTCTGACATTACGGTAGCCCGAACAGGAGGACTTGTCGAGGAACTCCGTCGTCGTGGACAAAAAGCAATTGGAGATCGAGGTTACAATGGGGAACAAAAACAAATTAGCACACCGAATGCTCATGACAACAAGGGGGTGTCGCTATTCAAAAGACGAGCTCTCATGCGTCAAGAGAATTTCAATGGAATGATCAAGCGATTCAATGTGACGAGTCATTGCTTTCGTCACAGTGAAGAACGCTTTGAGCTTGCGTTTGAAGCTGTTTGCGTTATTTGTCAATACAAAGTGGAGAACGAAACCCCACTCTACGACGTCTTGATTCAACAAGTGAAAGACCAATTTGAAACGAATTCTGTCACTAGCTAATAAGTCAACTAACTATTTTAAAAGTATTATATTAAATAATACCACGAATCGAGTGCTAAAGTATTACCGAAATTCTATTGCTCCTCTAATGTGACTCATCTGCAATCGAGTGCTAAAGTATTACCGAAATTCTATTGCTCCTCTAATGTGACTCATCTGCTAGAAGCTCCGTTTATGCTCAAACAATCATCAACTTGAAACTATTAAAATAGGATTTGAGTTTATTTTTTGTTCGGGAGAGTTTTTTTATTTAAAATGTAGCATTTTCAGCCTCAGCCGATTAAAAGGAGTGTCGCCTTAAAGTGATGTCCAATTGTGACGTCGCGCCTTAAAGTGATGTCCAATTGTGACGTCGCGCCTTAAAGTGATGTCCTATTGTGACGTCGCTCACTAAAGTGATGTCGATAATTGTTAAAGTGTGTCGCCGAACACAAAAGTTTCTCCGATTTTTATTTGTGAAAAAGGATTTGTCGTGTTTGATAAAATACGTTACCGCGTGAAGAGTGATATTCTCCCATCAAATAAAAGGGGGATTGCGGATGACGGGAGAACGCGGGCAAGTTGGTGCTGAGATGGCTGGCGCGCGAGCTCACAACAGTTGCGGGTGTTCCTGTATGAAAATAATTCATTAGTGATAATTTAGTGGTAGTAAACCCAAGGATAGATTCCTTTGAAGAACTCAAACTGGCGATTTGCGGGAACACAATTCCTCCGATCCCGCAATTTGTGTTCTTCCGGTTTTCTAGATGCTCACAAAAGTTGAAACTAAAAAACTGGAATACGGATCACCATCAAACACCAGGATAATGAGTCTTCAAACATTCATGGCAAACCTGTTACAAGAGAACTCGGTTGAGGACATTCTGATCGTACGGGACGATGCATCGCAAGACTCATCACAAAGATCGCGGTCGCTGCCAGCAGAGCTTGTTTGCAACCACCACCACCAGCACCACCAAACAGTATCCTTAGATCGGTTCGAATCTGAACATTATGAAAAGACAAGGGGTCCTCCAAAGATTCCAGAACGAAGGCCCAGTCTGGTGAAACTGAGCTTCTGAGTGAGCCATCCAGCGAACTTCTAGCTGCTTGGGGAGGTCGTTTCTCGTTTGTGACAAGTTTTGATTAAAAATCAATAGTACTTGGAAAAGATAGCATACAAAATACAATAAATTATAACATACAATATTTTCTCTTTTTGTAACAAACCGCATGTGCTGTCGCCTTGTTCTTGTCATCAAGAAAAACAGAGATATAGAAGTATCGTACTATAGTCACATTATTCCTATGGTTGGAGGGGCGAAAACGGGGGGGGGGTGTGTGCATCATTTGGCTGTTTTGATGTTGATGTCGATAATGGTAACACAGAGTTGCTTCAGTCGCTCTTCATTTATTCTTATTCTGTAGCGCTACCTGGTCGTCTGTCTTCGTCGCTCGTGAAGTACCTGCTGCTTCGTCGCTTGTGAAGTATCTGTCTTCGTCGCTCGTGGAGTACCATCTGGTACAACCAAACTATCATCACCAACAGGCACCATCGGTAGAAGGCACCGCGCGAGCAGACTTTAGTCCAGCAATGTAGTCAGTCATGATCGGACATTAGGAACTGGCTGAATGCGAAAAAAAGCAAGAGGCAAGCGAATAGTCACGATAACTTCAGGTGTTCTTTCTGAAGCCTGAAACCAATGACCAGTGCACATCTCCTACTGTTGTTGTGTATCATAGGTTGAAACACTACTCAAGTAGAAAAAGCAATCAAGTTGGGTTCATTGACAACCACTATTCTTTGGTTCTTAGTTTCATAGATAGGAATCGTTGAAGTCAGATTTCTTGGTCATGATGGAAATGTCGGTTGTGAAACGCAAACGTCAGGTTACGTCAGTGACATATTTGTTCTACTGTAGGTTGAAGTTCGGAAATACAAGGCGAAATAGAGTCATCCTCAATCACCAAAAACTACCGAAATCAACCCACAAATTCGAAATAGTGTCAGTCTGAGAAACAAAAACAAAGAAGTCACAATGGAGCTCCAAAAGTTCATGTCCAATCTCCTTCCGCGAGATCCTACCCAGAGAATCGTTATCGTTCGAGACGACGCCTCTTTGGAATCATCCCAATGGTCCTCCTCGAAGCTGGTGCTGTTACACCACAGTCCAAAAGAGTGTCATTCGGCACTAAGATTCCGGTCTCAAAATTGCATGAAACAGATGCATCCCCCGAAAATGCCAACGCGAAATTCAATTCTGTGATAAAAGTTCAACCATCGCGTCGTCTCTCTTCCATGGCGATACCAACGCCCCAAAGAACCGTCAATTTTGTGCCTCTCAACGACTAGTGGGACATACATATTTTTGCCGATCGGATTCTAAAAGACGATTGTTCGGCTAGACAAAGAGGCTGTAACATTAGCACTACTACATTATTAAAATTCCATATCATCCTTGCGTCATATTAGGAACACATTTAGAGCCTATTATGATAGAAGCGGTGGTCTGGACTGGTCATGCGATTCGGATATTCCCACGTTGTGCATTCTGCCCCCACAAGCAACTGATCAATGAATTCATGTCGAATTTCCGTGGTGAATCAATTAGGCTTTTCAAGTTGATTGATTCCTCTTGATGGTTGTGATGGATTTGAAGCTGCATTGTTCTCCAGAAAACGTAACAGGCAGAGATGAAACGGAGTGTCTTGTGCCAGTATACTCGAACCAAGGGATTGAAAGCCAAAACACTTGAAATGGTCAATTTCCAGTGCGGCCCGTTGTAATCGTACCGTGGTGGTCCACCGTATTCTTTACGGTATGTGCAATAAGGTCTTCTTCCTCTCCGTTCCTCTATTCAATTAATTCATCGTTTGACAGTGGACACCAAACACTTAATGACTGAGCATGCTCTCATTCCATATTTCAAACATCCATAGAGGTTCTCCGTTGTGCTCCGCCATGACTTGGAACGGTTGACCACCCAATATACCATTCATGCCATGATGAAAGCTCCCCAAATCAATCGACGAGGTGTGGTAATCCAAAAGATGTTGCAAGAACTGAAAGGTATACGTATTACCAACTCCAGTGCAAAAGTTCTCATCCTTTGCTTGGAACTTTAGATCAAAGTCTTTTTTCCGAGCTCTGGCACGTTCCAGAGGATCTTTGATTGGGTATGCCTTGCCAGTCAAGGATTCCTGCGGGACAGTTGGTTCCTCTCGGTCGAACACTCCCAAAAGATCCGTCGGCTCTTGCGCGCTTACCGTCACTGTTCGGGGGGCACTGCCGAGAGGGGACAGGGCATACGGTTGGTCGCCATCCAATTTCGTCTGGAGCTGGGGTGCAAAAAAGTGAACTGCAATGGTAGGTGGTAGTAAAATGACAAAAGTGAAAACGTTTAGAAAAATGCTGACGTGATGTCCGTACAAGTTCAAGTCAATCACATCACACAAAAATACATACCAACTTTGAGAATGGTCCAAAGCATCCACTTGGAAGGAACTTTTCCTAGTTTTCGTTGCATTCTCAAGCCCGTGACCAGATTGGACCATTGGACACTCTGGCGAAATTTTCCTCGCACCGTCACTTGGAATCGAAGAATGGGATTCGCGTCAAAGTAACCTTTCGAGGAGTTGGCCGATGGCATCATTTGAGGAGCATCTCGGAGGCGAATCAATAGGGATCCTCGAAAGAGCCTGGATTGAAAGTCAATTACCAATGATTCTCCAATAGCTTCTGTACCATCATTAATGGGAAGAATCCAACAGCCTTGATCCATCATCGCTTTCGTTCGATCCTCCTGGTTGTCTTGTATCGTCCCACTTCCTGATACCAATTTCCACCACGGTTGACTCGATTGGGGCGTCCACAGATACGACTTGTCATTGTCCAATCGAATCCCCAGAATTTCCGTTCCACTATTGGGTGCAACGCGAAACAAGAGGGGGGCTTGGGGCCACAATTGGGAGTCGTTTGGTGGCAATGGATAGACCGGTACATCTCGGGCGACACGACGATTGTTATTATCATCACGACTACTCTGCTGGTCAATGTTTGTTGGTTGCATAGTTTCTGAGCATAGCTCCGAGACGGGGTGTATCATTGCCATTCTGGAAGACTCATTATAAATGCATTCGATAGATTCTTTGATTGGTTGTTCGTTCCTGCATGCGGCATCAAGGTTGTTAGTAATGGTTGCATCTTCGGTGATTTGCGGTAGTGGAGTGTTACCAAAACAGAACAAGGAGTTGAGAGAATTGACAACACTGTTTGGTTCGGCTTGTGTATTCTGATGCTCGTTGTTCTCGTCGCTTGGAACCCTTCCAGACGAAGACGGCTCCATTCTAACTTCCGAGACATCTTGTACCAGCGTAGCATCTTGACGCTCGTCCTCCATTTCTGGATCATGATGGTGCTTCGGACAAGAGAGGCTGCCAATATCGACAGGATCCGGAAAACCAGTCGAAACATCCGACGAAATGTCAGTCATGAGAGACCTCATGCTTTCGTCCTTCTTTATTCCTCTGGATCGCTTCTTGTGCAGTCTGCTCAAGACGCCGCCATTTTTGCGGGTATCGCTCGTTCGAGAACGAAACAGCTTCATCTTCTTTGGACAATGGAATATACCGTATGTATGCGACGACCACAGAACAATAAACTCGCTCGCTGCCTTCTCCTCTTTCTTCTTCAGCAGGCTAAACGATAACTGTAACCGGCCGGATTGCCTTGTTGTTGTTATAGTAGCTGCTTGTCTTCTAGGTAGGTTTCAATTGGAATGAAAAATTCGAGTAGACAGGTTGGCGTCGACAAGGATGAGAAATGGGAGAGGTCCGCAGAAGTCTCGCGGTGACGTTGGTTGCCTCTCGAGTCAAGAGCAGAAGTTTTGTACTATGGTACTGTGCTGCAGTCAACACGAATGAATGATGAAGGATGCGGATTCAATGCCGGGGATGTTTTTCTCACTCCGACCTCGCGTGCGTCGGCTCAAGGACGGTTGAATGCGGGCTTGGAAATAGGAAGCACGTGCGTGTCTCCGTTGCGTCGGTCCGTTGGAAGTGGATCATAACAGAATCTGGAATACGGAATGAATGAATCATCCAAAATGACATCGAGTGTGAGATTGTTTTTCAAATTTTCGGATCAGTCGGATTCCTGGCTGACAGGCAGGAGCATCCATCGTACCTGGTACGACGTTTCAATATAATCATCTATCATCATATAATACCTACTACAATATCAAATATTCATACCTACAGTACCTCTAGTCAAACCATCATCATGGGCTATATTCCGCATCCTCCCATTCCGCTGTCTGCCGTGAGACCAAATGATATTTTCTTACTGTTGGGATTGGGGGCCCTTTGGGAATTGATCGTCCGTTTCATCTTGTTCCGATACCGCGCCAAACCTCGCAAGTTGATTCAAAAGGAAGTCAACCTAAAGGCACTCTCATCCAAAGTAAGAGAGTACCGCAGTAAGGGACCCTCTGCCTTTGTGGAATGTTCCAAATTGGAGCGACAATTATTAGCGGAAGAAAAGGTCATGGCGGACACGACGGAGAAACGAAAGATTGCTTTGACCAAAGCCGAAAAGGGAGCCAAGAATGCCAATATAGCGGTTAGCGCGCTCATTTTCCTCTTGTGGTACAGCATTCCCATTCTCGAATTTGAGGCCCATCGCATTGCGAAACTCGATGAGATCTTTAGCGAAGAAGAGGGACAGGCCATGGTGGAATCCGCACACAAGGCGTTCTTGTTTCCATTGAGTGTCGTGGGCATTGGACTCAAAATTGCCAAATACGGACTGGCCAATCCTCAATCCACATCGGGAGCACTGGTGGCCTTTTGGTCCGCACAAACGGTAGTGTCCAAGATTTTTGATGCCATTGATGCATTGAATGTATAATAATTATAGCAAAATAATGAGAGACTGAAGCAGTTGTGATGCCTTGCCTACCTACTGTAGATTCCAGTGAATTGCAGCTTCCATGTACCACAGCTTAGACTACAGTAGAACTTGAAAGAGTGAAGATAATTCTACAGTCAAGGAAAAACATATCAAGAATTACAACCCTTTCTCAATTCGGATCAAGCTCCAGTAGTTAGCAATACGTTGTTGTAATTTTAAAAGAGACTACTAGTAGAGCAACAATGAACATGCACATATTGGGGATGTACGGTACGATTCATGAGCGATGCAATCATTAAAAACTGAATTATACAGTAGCCTCCACCATATCCTACAGAGCGCAGCTTCAGTCAAGACAGACCAGATTAAGAGAGTTATAACCATTTCTTTTAAAATTCGCAGATAGCTACAACAGTATCATAGGCAGATTCATTCATTCACTGTTTTTTAAAAGGATGCTCTGCTGCTGCATTCGGCATGGTACGTGGTTCCTCCACAACAGTCCCACTGCCCGCGCGAATCTTCGATAGAATCGGAATCCAAAATGAATTTCAATTCGTCTTGGACTTGACGCAGTCGTTTTTGCTTTTCCGCTCGCATGGCTTCCTTGACTTCCTCAGGATAGCCCAAGAATTCTTCGCTGTCCTTGTCCATTTTCCATTGGCCCTTGTGATTGGACTTGTTATGCTGTGACGACGATGACGACGACGACGACGACGTTCCATTTGTAGTTGGATGACTAGTACTAGTACCAGTACTGGTATTACTAGACGGCAATTTGGCAACATCCAACAAGGTTTCTTGGACGTCTTGCAATTGTTTCTTGAGGTTCGCAATTTCAGAATCCTTCTTGGCCAGTTGTTCCTCCAGTATGTATGTGGATAGGCCATTTCCATTGCCATTCGGCGGTGCCGCATTTGGTATGACTGGTACCGTACCATTCGTGGATGCAATACCTCCATTTGTGCGGCATCGTTCCGCATTGTACTTGTTCAATCGTTCCTTCATTAGGTACAGGGTGGCATCCCAAAAGATGGGCTCTTTTAACCGTGAGGGAACCAGTGAAAAACGCATCTTGGCCAAATCCTTACTGACAGAATTCAATCGCAAGGCTAGTTGGGTCCTTGGAGAATCCAAATCTTGCGAGGAATAGCTCGCGGAAACGCCATTGGCGTCGCCCCTTTCCAATTGCTTTTGTTGTTGATTCTTAATGGCAAAACCAACTGTTTTGACTTCCTCCAAGGTTAATGGATAATCTTCGACTAGCTGCCGGAGCTCACTTTCCACCAACTCGGTCAAGTCACTCTTTTTGCCCTGTCGCCACCGTTCCTTGTCCTTGGCCGATCCTGGCAAGACGGAGGCCGTCCGGCTTAGGCTCGTAGTATCCTGCAACACAATGACAGGACCTCCTGGGTCGGATCGACGAGTCGAGCGAGGCATATTGCTTCGCGTCTTTTTTTGGCTGTATGCCTCTTGCTCCAAACAGCTACAGTAGAGGTACGATAAATGTGTCTGGTAGTTACTCTACTGCATACAACAAGAATGCAAGCGTATTTTGTCGTGCAACTTTATCCAATGCGAATTGTGTTCGAAGTGGTCGACCTAATAGAGTACGAAATTGCGTGCGACCTGAAAATATTCAATAGGCTCTCATCATCTCATCATTACTGGGGAGGGATGCTAACTACTTTGGGCAAATGCAGTACTAGTGAACACATATATGGTCTCTCATCCTCCTCAACGTTTCTTTTTCATTCCCGATCCGACTTTGGGTCATGACATCATCAGTATTTTTTTAATATGTGTGTATTGTTTTAATAGTACAAATCAATTATTAATACTAAACCCCGGGTCGTATTTGTTTCCATGCTGGATCCCAACTATCCTTTGGTTTGGGAGGTTTTCCCACTACCGTCTTGACGTGCCACGAGTATATCAATGTGCAATTGTTCAGCAATGGTTCCATGTCAGTGACATCTTCCACGAGTTGTTGGAGGAACATGTGCTCAATCTTTCCGGGTGGCGAGTCTTGAAGGAAACGAGCGTGTTTTTCTCGGACCAACTCACTATTGACGCAAAAGCCAGCCATGTCCATGGCGTAGTTCACCTTGTTTTTGAACCATCGATTGGTCGTTCCTGTCACTTTTCCTGTCATCGGATCCACTTTGCAGCGACAGTATAGTGCTTCTGCTCGAAACCCAACACTAAATATGCCAACTCCACGGCTGTATCGGATTGCTTCCATAAGGCGAGCTGAACAAAGCAAGAAGAGATAATGATGTGAGTTGCCCACTAAGGTCACCCGAGCGAACAAAAAGTGGAAGAGTTTAGTCTACCTACCATCATACTTGTTGTCATCATCACCAAAGTATATGACCCCAGGTACTCCCAACGATTCCACTGTGTCGATGCCCAAGTTCCGTTGCAAGACCCCCCGTGGAGCATTCATAGCCTTCATCTTTTGCTTCGACAGTTTCTTGGGTGCTTCCGGCGAGTTCACGGCCAAATGAGCAAAGAGCATTCCGCTTCGTTCCAGCAAATCTCGGACTCGCTTGCTTCCGTGACTGGCGTCTTCCACAACAATCCAATAGGTTGCCTTGTCGTGTTGTATGGATTGACTCACTTGCACCAAATCCAAAAGTTGCGTCGGTCGACGATAGGTCGGGGTAATGAAATAAACAAGCGGTTTATCCCCCAGACTGTGATGCTTGCGATATTGCGATATAACTGCTGCATCCATCACCATTGGCGTATCGATTGGATCATATCCTTCTTCGGCAGTGAAGTTGGGAAGGGTCCGAGGGAGAAAAGTGGGCCTGCCAACAGTTGATGTCGATGACGAAAGAGGACTGACATAATGATTGCCAGAGAAATTGTTCGATTGAGAAGCCGGAAGGAAGTCCAGGTAGCTCGAAGTACGAAAATTTAGAAAGATGGACTGTAGAAACAGTGTTGATATCACCAGAGAGAGTCTTTCGAGCCATCGGTGGTGTCTCATGCTTTGATGCTGTTAGAGGTCATTTTCAAAATTTTGGCTAGTGATGGAGAGTGCGTTTCGTTGGCACGTGGATAATCGAATCGTCCGACTAGAATGTCCGACGGTCTGAATGTCGGTCATTTGGTGGTCGCAAGGGATGAACGAGTGCGAATGTATTTATGGATTTGGTTTCGAGTGTCTTACATCAAGATTGAAATGTTGAAAACGTAAAGCTCATTTTCTGCACAACGAGCACAAAAAAAGAAGACTAAAGGACGAGATCACCATGTTGGACGAAGAACTCCAAGAGCTCAAAACAAACGGAAACGTCAAGACTAAGACCAGCACCAAGATCAAGAAAAGCATGAGGAAGAGCAAAAGAATAAGTGTTGATCCCACCGGTTTCCATGTTTCTGAAGTTGATCACCACAGCAAAGAAGATGATGATCCTGAAGAAGTGAATCACAGAATCGACGCAGCTTGGATGGCACCACGCGATCACTCGGTCTTTGAATTCCGAGATATTAGCTACATTGTTGGGAAAAGAAAGAAACAAAAGCAGATCCTTACCAATGTTAGTGGACGAGTTTCTGATGGATCCACCGTGGCCATTCTGGGACCTTCTGGTGCCGGAAAGACGTCTCTGCTGAAGGCTCTTTCGTTGGGGATCACGTCGGGGGAAGTGATGGGTAGCATCGAGCTAAATGGAAAGAAATTAACTAGTCAAGGTTTCAAAGACCACTGTTTCCTGGTTGAGCAATCTGATCATCACTGGTCGTTCTTGAGCTGCCAGGAAACCCTAATGTATGCGGCATCGTTGCTACTTGGTCCCGGAAATCACTCCGCCGTGGTGGAGAACGTTATTGACAAGATGGGGCTTCAATCCTGCAAAGACACTAAGGTTGGTAATGACTTTGTGCAAGGTTTGAGTGGAGGACAAAAGAGAAGGCTTTCGATCGCCATTGCTTTGCTGAAGAAACCGGCTGTGATAATGTTGGATGAACCAACATCCGGTTTGGACTCTGCTGCGTCTGTTGCCATCGTGAGTGAACTGAGAAAGTTGGCCAAGAGCGAAAATTTGATTGTCATCATGACGATTCATCAACCTTCCACAAAGGTCTATAATGACTTTGATCAAGTCATGTTAATGTCCAAGGGTCGACAAGCCTACATGGGAAAGGCGGCATCTGCACATGAGTACTTTGAAACCATTGGATACCCAATGATGCAGATGACCAATCCTGCTGACTTTTTGGTGGATCTAGTCAATGCTGACTTTACCAGTGAAGACTCGGTGATTGCAATTCTGGACGAATGGAAGCGACACTTGGCGTATAAGACGAAAAGGTGCAAGGGTCGGAAGGTGGAAGTGGATTCGAACGACGACTTCCATCAGCTGATGAGAAGGAAAAAGAGCTTCCTGCACCAATTATCTACAGTCTTCCGACGGCATGGACTATTAGTTGCAAGGGATCCCATTCTCTACGTCGGACGCATTGTGGTGCTATTGATCTCTAACACCGTATTCTCACTGGCCTATTGGAGCTCTCGTGACAAAGTCCAAGAGCAGAGCATCAACTTCTACTACGCCAATGCCTGGCCCATCTCACTTGGCTCAATGTTCGCCGTGGTAGCAGTATTCGTATTGAATTCCGAATTCAAGTCTATCATGCGAGAAGTAAGGAATGGCATGATCAATCCAGTGACTTACATTATGGCGAAGACAATACTGGTTTTGCCAGTGATGCTACTGTTTGGTGCCGCAGCCCTCAGTACTGGTGTCTATGCCATTTTGGGGCTCAAGGCAAACTACGGGGTCTATATGGTGATGTATGCCATCAGCGTTTTCGTCTTCGAATGCATCGCCGAAGTTCTTTCCGTCGCCTTCATCAACCCTTTGATGGGTATGCTATGCTTTCTATCGATCTGGTTCACCTCCTTTTTGTTTGGGGGAACCTTTCTTCCGCCGGACGATCTTTCAGTAGTGATACGATGGCTCTACCATGCCATGCCACTGTCCTACACCTTCAACGCCATTTCTTATCACGTCTTCGCCGGCGAGGAGTGGCCCAGTTGTATTCCTGATGCAAACGCTGGAGCTGTCTGCGTTGACTTCAATGAGTTTCCAAGGGAGGAGCCAATCACTTTGATCCTCGAATCTCTTTCCAAGATCGTACCAAATGTATCTGGAGATGACAATCGGATGGATGCCATGGCTATTATATTGGGCATGGCGCTTGGTTACAAGTTTCTATACGTTGCAATATTTTTGTTCAGGACCTCACAGAGCACCAAGCTACGCGGCGTTTGCGAGGATACTTTTATCAACAGAGATGACGTCCAATCGACCTAGCTAGACATAATGGGGGCATATTCAATGTGAAGCATCATGTCGATGTTATTTCGTCACTAATTTTTTATCCGCAACGGATGAAATCTACTGGTTTCAAGAATCTAAAAGACGTGCCTTGATAGATTAGTTGACTAGATCAACAGGATTTCAAAAAATGGGGTAATCAAGCGGTTTATCCCCCCAGACTGTGATGATCTTTTTTGGTTTAGCGATATGACAGATGTGCCCATCACCGTTGGAGTATCGATTGGTTGATATCCTTGTTGATAGCAAGCAGGGCCAATGACGTACTACAACGGAGAAAAGTGGGTATGCTGACCCTATCAACGACGCAGGTGGAAGGGGGCGGAAAGTCCACACTACAGTAGAAACAGGCGGAGTCTTTTGAGCAATTGTTTGTTCGCCGCTTCGTTGACGTTAAAGTTGGTCATCTTGGATTCGGATTCAGAAAACAATTATAATAATCGAATCGTCTGATTGCAAAATTTGACGGTACGGTCATTTCGTGGTCGCTCCATGGGGTTAGCGTAGAATATCAGGCATATAATGTGGACTAACCATTTTGAATTTATGGATATGGTTTGTCTGGCACCATGACTGAAAATGTTGGCGCAGAAATCACAGTAAAGGGCAGAATATTAAAAAAACGCGGACACAAGAACACAAGACCCAAAAGACGAAACACAAAAAATCAAAAAGATCACCATGATGGTGGACGAGGAAGTACAAGAGCCCAAGATCAAGACCAAGACCAAGATTAAGGTCAGGAGCAACCCGAAGAAGATTAACAGAACAATTGTTGATCCCACTGGCTTCCATGTTGCCGAAGTTCATCATGCAATTGGTAAGAAGGGAGTAAATCGAAACATCGAAGCAGCATGGATGGCACCACGCGATCACTCGGTCTTTGAATTCCGAAACATCAACTACATTGTTGGTGAGGGAAAGGCACAAAAACCAATTCTTACCAATGTCAGTGGGCGAGTTTCTGATGGATCCACAGTGGCCATTCTGGGGCCTTCTGGCGCTGGAAAGACCTCTTTGCTGATGGCTCTTTCATTGGGAATTACCTCTGGAAAAGTGACAGGAAGCATCGAGTTGAACGGAAAGGCGCTCACAAACCAGAGCTTCAAAGATCACTGTTTCCTGGTTGAGCAATCTGATCATCACTGGTCGTTCTTGAGCTGTTTGGAAACCCTAATGTATGCAGCATCTTTGCTGCTTGGTCCCGGAAATCACTCCGCTGTTGTTGATAGTATCATTGAAAAGATGGGGCTTCAATCCTGCAAAGACACTAAGGTTGGCAACGACTTTGTGCAAGGTTTGAGTGGAGGACAAAAGAGAAGGCTTTCGATCGCCATTGCGTTGTTGAAGAAACCTGCAGTGATCATGTTGGACGAGCCAACCTCTGGTTTGGACTCTGCTGCGTCTGTTGCCATCGTGAGTGAACTGAGAAAGTTGGCCAAGACCGAGAACTTGATTGTAATCATGACGATTCATCAACCCTCGACAAAAGTCTATAACGACTTTGATCAAGTCATGTGAGTTGGACGTTTGGTATGTTGCAATACTGATCATATGGCTGACGTCAAACACTACTCGTTTTCATTATTTAGTCTCATGGCACGGGGCCGACAAGCCTTCATTGGAGAAGCAGCGGCCGCACATGACTACTTTGAAACCATTGGACATCCAATGGTGCACATGACTAACCCTGCTGAATTTCTCGTGGATCTAGTCAATTCTGACTTTACCAGCGAAGATTCCGTTCTCTCGATTCTGGACGAATGGAAACAACACACTTCTGAGACGCATAGGAGCAAGAATGAAACCTTGGTGGTTGGCTCAAACGACGACTTTCACCAGCTGATCAAACGAAAAAAGAGCTTTCTGCACGAATTGTCAACAATCTTTGGCCGACATGCACTATTGGTTGCAAGGGATCCCATTCTCTACGTAGGACGCATTGTGTTACTATTGATCTCGAACACTATATTTGCCCTGGCCTATTGGAGCTCTCGGGAGAAGGTTCAGGCACAAGCGATCAACTTCTACTACGCCAATGCCTGGCCCATCTCACTTGGCTCAATGTTCGCCGTTGTGGCAGTGTTTGGATTGAATGCCGAATTCAAGTCTGTTATTCGCGAAGTCAAGAATGGTATGATCAATCCATTGACTTACATCATAGCGAAGACGGTTCTGGTCTTGCCCGTGATGCTGTTGTTTGGTGCCGCAGCCATCAGTACTGGTGTCTATGCGATCTTGGGACTCAAGGCAAACTACGGGATCTATCTGGTTCTCTATGCTATTAGCATGTTTGTCTTCGAATGCATCGCCGAGGTTCTCTCTGTCGCTTTTATCAATCCGCTGATGGGTATGCTATGCTTTCTGTCGATCTGGTTCACCTCCTTTTTGTTTGGGGGAACCTTTTTGCCGCCAGATGATCTTTCAGTAGTGATTCGGTGGCTCTACCATGCCATGCCACTGTCCTACACCTTCAATGCCATTTCTTATCACGTATTTTCAGGCGAGGACTGGCCCAGTTGTGTTCCTGATGCAAACACTGGAGCTGTCTGTGTTGAATTTGATGAGTCACCAGATGAAGCGCCAATCGCTTTGATTCTCGAATCACTTTCGAAGATCATACCAAATGTATCTGGGGATGACAATCGTGTGGAAGCCATGGCCATTATATTGGGCATGGCCCTTGGTTACAAAATTCTGTACGTCGCAATCTTTTTGTTTAAGTCCTCATAGGGCAGCAAGCTTCCTTCAAGAACCATTTTGAACGATACGTCACACGGGAGTTTGAACATACTCGATGATTCATTCATTCATCATGCATTTTTATTTCCATATTATAGAATATAATAATAGCCACAATAATTTTAAGCATCTCTTCGACGTTGGTTCATACTCTTGGTTGGTTAGAGCAAAGTGGGTCTGCGCTGTTTGCGCGCATATCTAGATTACCCCTCCGGAATGCGTACAGTGCACCAGTACGTCACACACAAAATCCAGCACATTCTCGCAATTCGCTGACGAAGCTGGTCGCGGAGCGCTTCCGTTAAGTATAAAATGAACACCATTGTGCCTTTTTATTCCGGTGCCAGTATGAGTCATGTGAGGAAATTACCTCAAGAATACTGAAGTGTGCGGTAGGTAGAACATTGCAACGTGGTGAAATCAAATGAGCGAAACAGACCTACCGTATATTAATGAAAGGAGATATCATCATGGCGGAAGAAGAACTAGAAGTAACCATTTTGGAGCCCAAGCTCAAGCGCAAGAGTAAGAGAAAAAGCAAGAAAAGCGAAAGTGAAAGCAAAAGAGGGAGCGTTGATCCCGCTGGTGTCCATGTTTCTGAAGTGGACCATCTGATTGATACAGCATGGATGACTCCACGCGATCACTCAGTCTTTGAATTCAGAGACATTAACTACATTATCGGTAAGGGAAAGAAAGAAAAGCAGATCCTTACCAATGTTAATGGGCGAATTTCCGATGGATCCACCGTGGCCATTCTGGGACCTTCTGGTGCCGGAAAGACGTCTCTGCTGAAGGCTCTTTCGTTGGGGATCACGTCTGGGAAAGCGACTGGAATTATTGAATTGAACGGAAAGAAGCTGACAAACCAGGGCTTTAAGGATCACTGTTTCCTGGTTGAGCAATATGATCACCACTGGTCGTTCTTAACCTGTAAGGAAACCCTAATGTATGCGGCATCTTTGCTACTTGGTCCCGGAAATCATACTTCGGTGGTGGAGAACATTATTGACAAGATGGGGCTTCAATCTTGCAAAGATACCAAGATTGGTAATGACTTTGTGCAAGGTCTTAGTGGAGGACAAAAGCGAAGGCTTTCAATCGCCATTGCTTTGCTGAAGAAACCGGCTGTGATTATGCTCGACGAACCAACCTCCGGTTTGGATTCGGCAGCATCCGTTGCGATTGTGGGCGAACTGAGAAAGTTGGCCAAGAGCGAAAATTTGATTGTTATCATGACGATTCACCAACCCTCGACAAAGGTCTACAATGACTTTGATCAAGTCATGTTGATGTCCAAGGGTCGACAAGCCTACATGGGAAAGGCAGCATCTGCACATGAGTACTTTGAAACCATTGGATACCCAATGATGCAGATGACCAATCCTGCTGACTTTTTGGTGGATCTAGTCAATGCTGACTTTACTAGTGAAGACTCTGTACTTTCCATTCTGGACGAATGGGAGCATCGCACTTCCAAGATCCAAATGAATAACGATCAGAAGATGGTTGTGGACTCTGATGATGATGACTTTCATCAGCTGATGAGAAGGAAAAAGAGCTTTCTGCACGAATTGAACGTTCTCTTCCGACGACACGCAGTTTTGATAGCCCGAGATCCCATTCTCTACGTCGGACGTATTGTGGTGCTTCTGATCTTCTGTACCATTTTTGCTTTGGCTTATTGGAGCTCTCGTGACAAGGTGCAAGCACAAGCTATCAACTTCTACTACGCCAATTCCTGGCCGATTTCGCTCGGCTCGATGTTCGCTGTAGTTGCAGTATTCGCATTGAATGCTGAATTCAAGTCCGTCATGCGAGAAGTCAAGAACGGTATGATCCATCCGGTGACGTATATCACGGCCAAATCCATACTGGTGTTGCCAGTGATGCTACTGTTTGCTGTAGCTGCCCTCAGTACTGGTGTCTACTCCATTCTGGGAATCAAAGCAAACTACGCGACCTACGCCGGTATGTTTGCTATCAGCATTTTCGTTTTTGAATGCATTGCAGAGGTTCTTTCCGTCGCCTTTATCAATCCGCTTTTGGGTATGTTATGCTACCTGTCGGTTTGGTTTACCGCCTTTTTGTTCGCTGGAACTTTTCTACCGGCGGACGACCTCCCAGGTGTCATTCGGTGGATCTACTATGCGATGCCACTTGCCTACACCTTTGATGCCTTCTCTTACCACGTTTTTTCCAGCGAGGATTGGCCCAGTTGTATTCCTGATGAGAATGCTGGGGCCGTGTGTGTTGATTTCAGTCAGGTGCAAGGGGAAGAACCGAGCACCTTGATTCTCCAAGTACTTTCCAAGATCGTCCCAAATGTAACTGGAGAAGACAATCGCATGGAAGCTATGGGTATTATATTGGGAATGGCACTTGCTTACAAGCTTCTATATGTCACAATATTTTTGTTCAAGTCCTCATAAAATAGCAAGCTGCAAGGGTCAACACACGATATCAACAAAAGAGATATATCAGTGATGATTGCCATTTAGATGGCGGATCTTGCTCACTCCAATGTCCATAAAGTATAACATTTTGCTATTTGGATGATTCCAACGATGCAACTACCAGCTGCCTGGAATGAGTCCACCGAACTATCGAGGATGACCAACTGGTGGCGCCTTCTGCTCGGGCTCTTCTGCTTCGGGTTTCTGGTTGGATTTTTATAGTTTGCAGCTGGTCGTTGGACTTGATGGACCAATCTCAGGTTGGCTGCTCGTAAAACTTGTGTGAAGGATATCCTGTCAAGGCTCAGAAGGGTGCATGGGGATGGGAAAGAGAGACAGATAGAAAGAAACAAAGAAAGAACACGTTCGATAAACTGTTCGGACTTACTACAGTTCGTACCTGCTGGTACTGGTTGCGTCCGTGAAATATTACAGAGATGATCGACTTCTGATTGTCGTCCAATGAATTTTTCTAAATTTTTATTGGTTCGACCACGTTCTTCCGCCCAATGATGGGCAGAAGCGAATGTGCGTGGCGAAATGCGAAGTCTGCCCATTTTTGCGGCACCATATTTTCTTTTAAACTACACTTAGAGCAAATAGGATAGTTGATCTTCGCTAGTGAATAAAGAATATTTTCGTGGACTAAAAAGCCAAAAGTGTTGACGTGAAATGTGCTAATGCATTATTTCGAAATAATCTACAGAGACATCAACTTTTCGGCTCACATGTCTGATCAGATATCTTTCGAATCAGAAGCATTCTCTCATTTGCGGGACCAAGTCATAATATGTATAATGTACGGGTACACGTAGAGTGTACCAGGTACACGTACCTGGTACCGTACAATACCAGTTCCGTTCGGTGAAATTCGCGAATTCTCCACTCACAATTTTTCTCAACAAAAAAATAATGTCTATCATGTTCTCTACTAGTCCCGACAACGACAAGCTTCAAGAGGATAGCTACAGCTTCCCAAATATAGCAGATGACAGCCTGCTGTCGCTTATGCGATGCCCTTTGCCGCTCTGCTTGGATCATGCACGCCCTGTACCTGTACCAAGCTCGTCGTCCCCTTCTTCCTCCTTTCTCCCTTTGGCGTCCTCTTTTGAGGACCCATTCAATGATCCAGGCATGGAACCTTTGCCTCTCAGATCACAGGGTCCTGTCAATCATCATGCGCCTCTAACGCAATCAATGAGAGATGATTATCTCGCCTCTTCCTTCATGGAACTCCTGAACAAGCCAAATGACACCAAACTTCGACAAGAAGACCTGGTTAGCATTGCGAACTCCAAAAGAAGCTCTGAAGCTTTCTTTCCCAACCAAAACCAAGGATCATGTAAGCGCCAACGAACGAGTCACATGGAAGCCGCCTATGGCGAAGAAAGCATGCCTCGTTTTCGCCCCTACCAAGACAAGCAATGGCGAGCTCAGTTCGCAAAGCTCGTCCAATACAAGCTCCTTAATGGACACTGTTGTGTTCCTCATTCTTACTCAGGAGATCCTACCCTCGCTCGATGGGTCAAGAGACAAAGATACCAATACAAGAAGTTCCGGGACTGTGACGCAACATCCACCATTACAGCTGCTCGCATTCAAGAGCTTGAGTCGATTGGCTTTGTGTGGCACTCGCATGCTTCAGCGTGGCTAGAGAAGGTCAACGAGCTCAAGGTCTTCATGCAACGAACGGGACACTGTAACGTCCCATCTCACTATCCAGAGAACACTGCACTCTCCACTTGGGTAAAGTGTCAACGTCGGCAATACAAAGTAAAAATCTCTGGGTCTTCTTCTTCGACTATGACGATGGAACGCTTCCAAATGTTGCAATCCTTGGGTTTTGTGTTTGAACCACAACTATCGAGACGAACGGAGTTGAATATGATGCAATAACTGTAGTTTTATAAATTTTGAAAAGATCACCCAGAAATACTGTGGGACTATAGTATTTGTCATCAGAATTCTTGAAGTGGAGGCCCCAAGAACACAGTCTCTGATACATGGTCAATGTTGCAGCAAAGATTCCTCTTGTGACCATTCGAGTCCAATGGCCTTCAATAGCTGATGTTGTTCTTTGCTGATTTCGAATAATCTCTTTTCAAAAGAAAAATACCACGTCTTCGTTTGCTACATACAGTACCGTACCGGTAGGATAAAACAAGCATGCTGAGGAGATACTAACATAGGCCTGGTACTAGGAGTAGGGCAAAACTATTTGCTCTCCTTTGTCACATCTGCATTCAACAGTTAACAACCGTTCTGTCAGGTCGGGTCAATCCAAAATATGTAGAATTGTCAATTTCTTTCATCATATGGACGAGTGATGTGATGTGTGATGTGAGTCAACCTCAAAGTGGTCCGACTCGTCCGACTTCATGAATTGTGCTGCCAGTCAGTACAATAAACGCAGTGTCAATTGCGGAACTCTTATCAACAATAATCTGCGCAGTCGGCAACATGGACCATACTTGTAGCGGTGTTACCGTCGTTCCCGTTACCATTATTACAGGATTTTTAGGATCCGGGAAGACCACTCTCCTGAATCACATTCTTAAAGACAAGTCTCATGGAATGAAATTTGCCATTATTGAGAATGAATATGGAGACGTCAGTGTTGACGATACGGTCATTACGGAGCAGCCCCAGGATGAAGTAATTGAGGTCATGAATGGATGTCTATGTTGTACTGTCCGGGGTGATCTTGTCAAGGTTCTGAAGAGATTATACAGACGAATGAGCCAGTTTGACGGCATTATCATTGAGACTACTGGAATGGCGGATCCTGCACCTGTTTGCCAAACCTTTTTCGTAGAAGAACACATGAAAAGGCTTTTCCGCTTGGACGCAGTCATCACCGTTGTTGATAGCAAGAATATCATCGAACGCCTCAACGAAGAAAAGCCAGCGGACGCAGTCAACGAATCCGAAGCTCAAATTGCATTTGCAGATAAAGTTCTGCTAAACAAAGTGGATCTTTCGTCGGAAGACGAATTGGTCAAGATTGAAGAAAGAATCAAGTCCATCAACCCAAATTGTTCCATTACTCGCTGCAAAGATGGGAACGTTAATCCCCAAGATCTTATAAATATCCAAGCCTTTGACGTGAGGCGGGCTCTTGATCTGGACGAAGACTTCCTTGACGAATTTAGTGAACCAACTCAGCACGACTCCACTATAGGCAGTATTGCTGTCAAGCTCGAGGGAAGTGTCAACATGGCCATGCTTGAGACTTGGATCCAACGACTCCTTGGAGAAGATGGCGCCAAGCTCTATCGATACAAGGGAATTATTTCGGTGAAAGGAATGCCGTTAAAGTTCATCTTCCAAGGTGTTGGTATGAACTTCGATGGTGGATTCTGTGACATTGAATGGGGAGAAGATGAAAGACGTGAATCTCGGTTTGTTTTTATTGGCAAGAACCTCGATGATAAACTGTATCGCGATGGATTCATAGCCTGCAAAGCGGATACGCCACTTCGTTTTGAAGTTGGCGACATGGTTGAATGCCAAATTGACGAAGCCTACGTAGTCGGGAAAATCCTCATGCAGTGGGAGGAAGGGAACGCCTACCGTATTGAAGTGCAAAATGCGGATAGGTCAAATGTTTGGGCTCCTGTTGACATTGACGCATATGTTCGGACCGTCAAGTCCCCTAGGTAGAAATGTGTCATGGACGCAAACGGATGAGTGCCTGTGATAGTCAGAACCATATCAGAAACATATCAATAATTTCGAGGAGGAGAACTTGCGTGGAAGTGGGTCTGCAAAATTTCAGCTAGAGGAAGCTGATGTTCACAGTAATGGTGTAGAAAAGGACTACTTCAGTGCAGTCCGTAGTCGTGTTTGAAACTATGCACGTTTGCAATTACAACTTTTATTAGAGATTGGAAGAAGACAGCACAAAACTAAAAGATACTGCAACCAATAATGCAAGCAAACGAAGAAACAGAAGATCAGAAACTGTTACGACTGGCTTCCAGCTGGGACGGTTTTGTTGGAAGACATCGTGAAAGCGATGGGACACTTCCTGGTTGGAAAGAATGGTCGAGTAGGCACAAACAGAGAGTCGAAATGGTGCAAGTATGTCGGGGTCGGAAACAGTGGAGGAAGCAAATGCGGAGGCGTCAACGAAGTGATTTGACGCTATCCATAGTGTCTTGGAATGTTCTGTCCGATACATGGCTTAACTTTGGGCGAGTAGGATATGAACATACTCCTGTTGAGCTCAAATCAGATTGGTCCAAACGGATTGCCCTCTTGATGCAATGGGTCGAGGACCTCCAGCCGGATGTCCTCTGCTTTCAAGAAGTGGATTATGAAAAATTTGTTGAAAATAGGGATACCACTTTGAAAGGACCTTTTCTGTTGACGGAATTGTCCAAGAAGTTTGGCTACCAAGGAGTGATTCAAAAACCGAAACGAGGCAAGAAAGATGATCAGCCTTGTGGGGTTGCCACTTTATGGAAAGACGATCAGTTTGAATTGATCAAGGAGAAATCTTTTTCACGGACGCAGTGTGTAGTACTGAACCGTCGTTCTTCGTTTAGTACTTTTTGTCTGGTAAATCTTCATTTGGAATCTCAACAAAGCGCTGCGGGGAGTGACAAACGGGCGCGGCAGCTGAATTCAGTCTTGTCGCATGTCGCGAGAGAAGCACCAGGGATATCCTTT